ATAGGTGTAACACTTACCTACACGTGTTCTGATTCGACTTGATTAAAATATTATTTTGATTCTTTCGACAAAAAGAAAGTAACGCCGCAGCAAATTATGGCAATACATATCATTGTGAGGATGACTAAAAGGTGTCAGACCAAAATTAACACCTACACATTTTGATTGGATTATTCTGTTTAGGAGATTCCTAGTAACAGCATTTGAAGAAGTGTTCCATAGACACCAAATAGCTCGTCTCTCATCTCGTCACAAGGCCAATTCTCGTAATAAAAAGTCCTTCAAAATTAATTCCGATCTACTCTCGATGTCACAAATATCATAAAACGTATTTTTGTAGTAAAATATAACTAAGACTAGCAGAATACCGATTCAACTTTCGGTCGCAATATGATATAATCATTAATCACATACTGGTATCACGTGGGTACGTGATATCGTTTGTAAAATACAAATTTATCGAATCGCTTTAAAACTATCTGTGGTTCTATGCCATACCGTATTTTTTTTCTCTGAAAGAAATATTTCATAATTATCATTTTTTGCATAAAATATTTAGCTACACACTACTGGCTATTACACAGCTTGCCACTATGCAGCTACTCTATAATATTAATTATGAAGTTCTGTCTGAATCTAAGAAAGTAATTATTTCAGTGTGAAAGTATAATATAAATAAAATTGCAATTAACATTTCTGAGTAGGCACTGTACGAAAGTTTGTTACTTATTATTTTTGTAACTTTGTTACTCATACAACCATTTAATTTTTTTAAATTTTATTCTTCTAATTCCTAAGCATCGCTATGCCATGAATTAAAAAAGGATTATTAATCTGAATCATGTCGTCTGTAGCATGTAAGTAATTAGTCATATTATTGATCACCATTGTGTGTTAATATTTATTGCTGTTGTTAAATATGTAGTATTAATTTGGACGTAAAAGTCTCTTTCTCTCTCTTTTATTTTTTGCCGTGGTTGAATATGGTGTAAGAACAATGATTATACTCGTATTAGCTTATAAGTTCTGCAAATGTATACCCATACCTATTCACAAAATAATAAATAAAATAATGTTATGAATTACGTAGGTCACTATATAAATTTTCAGACTCGCAAAAAGTAAACAAATTAATAAAAAAAGCTCTACATCACTCTCTATACAAATTGCCATCCGCCTAAACCAGTCTCGGAAACACTTTTTCCAGTCTTTCTCCGACAGGTCAAAAATGGCTGATTCGTAGGCAGCTACCGTTTTTGCACTTGAAAAAACTTGTCTTTTATCTTATTTTTTATGGTGGAGAATAAAGAGAAGTCACAAGGAGCTGAGTCGGGGCTGTAAGGTGGGTAAGGTAGGGTTTCAATACTCCATTTTTGAATAAACGGCTTTGTTCTGAGGAAGGAGTGTGAAGATTCATTTCTTCATTGGTGCAGCATCATTCCCCGAAGCCCAGTCTTTTTCTCTTTGTCCCTGTATATAATTCGTGGGTCTTCTCGAATAAGCATTTCAGTAGTCCACACATTTTCAGCAGTGACTGCTGTTGGAGGGCGTACACTTCTTTCATTATCTTCAAGGCTAGTTTACCCGCCTTTAATTCGTTAAACCATCTAAAAATTGTTGCTCGAGAAGGAGCAGACTCGCCTAAAGCTGATTTTAAACGTTCTTAAGTTAAACCTTCAGATAAATCACATTTAAAGTCGTAATATATCGTAGCACGCAAATGTTTACATTTAAGCTCCATTGCACCAGACAAAAAAGCGGGAATCGATGACAGTATAATACTTATATTTTTTTTATTGCTGTACATGCATTTCGTGTTCGATTTTCAAATAAATTAGAATGTTAATAATATATAATAACCTCTCAAAACTTAAATAGTGACCTACGTACCAGTCATTATCACGGATGTGAAAATTGTACCTACCTAAATATTTTTTAACCGACTTTTAAAACACAAAAGAGGAGGTTATCAATTAGTCTGTAATTTTTTTTGTTTGTTTGTTGCGCGATATCTCCGTCAATTGTTGACCGATGTTCAAAATTCTTTTTGTAAGGGGAACTCTCAAATTTAACAGCCCCGACAACGTTATGTCATGTTGTTGAGCTGATGCGGGAAAGATCCTTGGTTTTTAGGAGGTAGTAAATAACTATTTAAAAAATCTAATCATGTACTGACCTTGTTTTATTATTTCAAGATATTTGTTAGTGTTTGTGTGAGGTTACAGAGATATGTGCACAAAAGAGTAATATAATATGAGATTACGAAACATTTAGACAAAAAAAATGTTTGTTACGAAATTAATTTCATGTTTGTAAATCGATTACAAAAAAATGCGAAGGGTATATTTCCCCTTTATTTCATTTGAATGTGAAGAATAAATAAAACTCCTAGTTTAGGAAAATTAAGTGATGTGGAAAACAATATATTTTTCAGGTTCAAATGTAACATATTACTACCTTATCTAAATAAAGTAAAGGAATTATTAAAGTATATCATTTAACATACTGCAGTTTAGTACTATACATTACGGTACCTACGTAGAGTTTTAAATATCGTACTTATACACTCAATACAAACATATCTTACACTTAACATGGTAAAATAAATCCTTTAAAAAACGTTTTCTATTGTGCTAATGTAAAGCTGACATAGACGAGTATTACTTTTTGTGCATCGGGCTTGGCGCCGACTTCAAGCGTCCTAGAAGGGACTATAGCTATTATAGTGTAACCTGTTATATTGAGGATACTTTTTTTTTACTTAGATTTGTAATGATTTTTTTATTTTTAGTGCTCTTTGTCAGTATTGTTTGAAGTCGGGTTAACTTTTTTTTTTAATGGATTTATTAGCTCATTTGATAATACATTTACAGTTTTTATGCGCCATATATCCGTAGTAGACCCTTCTGTTTTTTATTCAAACTTAATCATAAAATGAAATAAAAATATCTACAAAATGAGTAGGTACTTATAGTTCACTCTTTTTTCTTCGCAAATAATTTAGCCGTGATTATACACTAGTAAATTCTTGTAGCTCTGACATTTATACTATGTAAATAAGAATAGTTACTGCGTTAAAATATTATGTTATTTCAAATCAGTAATAGTTTTTTAACGAGAATGAAACGAAAAAAACGAATCTTTTTTAAGAATGTAAAACCACTACTTATTATTGTTGTACAATTTAAAATTATTGTAGAAAAGTAAATACGTAACAAATTTACCTATATATTTAAATGTGATAGTTGTAAATGTGAATATAACTATAAAGTTTCCAAAATACAACCGACGAAAATTCTTAATAAATAATTATGTGTAACATATGTTTTTGGACAAGGTACGGTATTTTGTGATATTAACTAAAAATAATATTTAAAATCATCACAATCGATATTTTTATCAAGATAATGATATTAAGACCTCCTTTTTTAAAATTGGTCAAAGTTTTTAGCTTATTTATTTATTTATTTTCCTGGTAAATAAAAATTCTTGTGCTGACCAAAACAGTTACTTATTTGTTTTTGAAGTTTCTCAGTAAATTCAATCAATACTATTTTTGTGAGTGCGCATTTAATAAAGTTCGACTCGTGGAACAAGTAGATACGAGGTGTCCAATATTTAGTGAGTATAAAGTCAACGTGTTATTGTATAAAAATCTCACCTTCATTGGTGTCAATTTCAGCAATGGGAGTGACAAAAGAAATTTGGAAAAATAGTAATCCAATGAAATATAAACGAGTATAAAAAACCATAATGTCAATATTATAAACGAAGCACAATAATAATATCTTTTTTAAATGAACAATGATCGCGTCTGAAATTTTTCGCGTTCACGTGTTTTAGTTCGTATTGAGCTAACGCAGATTGAAACTACTAACGTGCGCTTCCGCTGCAGCGGACACCGAGCGACTAACCAACTAATAAAGTTGCCGAGACTAGCTACGCTCTTTTGGATGTGCACAGTTAGGTGCGACCTTCTTGCTTGAAAGGATTTGAAGTTCAAAAGTAAACTTATGATGATGCATAATTTATACCCTTATATGGGCTCGTGATATTTATTTCTCATCCCTTCGATTCAGTATTTTTAAAAGTGTACCTAAACGTTATCTAAGTTTAATGGTCATTTAATATTGCTTACAAACTCGTTTTATGAGACATCTATTTATTCAAGTAAGTATGATAAGCTAAAACTTCCAAGTCGTTCCTTGAAATAAGGTTTAAGTACCAAAATCTTAAAAAGAAAAATAATCTTCCTCTGAAGTGGAATAGTACAACTTCTACCCTCATAAGGGAGGCTGAGAGAGCCTGTCAAAAGTAGGTCATAGGGACTACACAACTAGATCCAATGCTAGATATCATCTGCTGATGAACAACTTTTAAGAAATGCAAATTATACTCGTATACGTCTTCCAAATAGCATAACTAAATACGATCATAAAAATATATCTATATTTATTTATTTCTTACACTTAATGACCTTCAGAACTTTACCATTATAAGTACCTAGTATCGAAACCATGGAACACAATCGTGTACCAACTGTGTAACCCGCGTGCTATGGAAGAGCAGTCTCCATTGATTGCTTAAAGGGATGCTCCAATCACGAATATTGTTATACCTACACATTTTTGGTAACGAAGTAACACTTTTTGTATTTGGATTATTCTAAAATCATAAGTAGGTACTCTTGTCTAAAGAAGATACAGAAGAACTTAAAATTAAAGGAATAATGGCCTTATAAACAACTGTCTCGTAATCATTGCTGATGCTATTGAAATCGAAGATAGGTACGCTATACATCAGACTGATTCTCGAGGTCACATCAAAACCTATAAGTACATCTATCTAGTGTATATTTACAAACAAATCAAGAACCGACTTGCGCATGCGTGAAGATTTCTTACCCCTGGAACAGTCGCTGTTGGGTGGCGTTCTCAACAACATATGGTATACGAAAATATGGTGATAACTGTAAAATAAGTGGTAACAATAGAACCAAGATGGGTAACCAGTTTAAGAACGTGGCGGTGATCGCCTGCCTAAAAACCTTCCTTTTCATTTTCAACATCGTGTTTTGGGTACGTAATATTGTGTAGAATTATTATTGTAAACACGCTCCTTATACATCGCTGCAGGTTGTAAAAATAATTTGGACTATTGTTAGTCCTAAAGAAATGCAGAAATATACATTTGCATACTTAATTGATATCTCGTTGGTGTAAATCGTGCTTTAATTTGCTTTCATCTGTCAGTCGATGTTTGAAATCTAACCATCTGTTTCATAGCCATGTGTAATACGTACATTTCAATCTTAGGTAAGTATATACCATATTGTGCACTTGATCTAGATATTAACCTTATTAATTAGCCAAAGCTAGACCATCAACAAATAGCAATAATAGATTTTTTCAAAGTTTGCCAAAGTTAAACCGAGGTCTATGTGCCGGAAAATGATGAGTAGAAGTAAATTGGTACTAACAAGAAAAAGGTTTATAACAAACATTTTATGTTGCAGTTAACTGGCTTGTTGTTGCTAATCGTTGGACTATGGGCTGAATTTGACCTGCACAAATATATGGAACTATCGCCGGAATTTTCTGGGACAGCGCCCCATGTAATGATCGGTATCGCCTGCCTAATTGTCGTTGTCACCTCTATCGCATTCTCCTGCATCATCAAAGGCCAGCCTGTTCTTCTATATATCGTAAGACATTTTTGATGTAAAAGCTGGTTGAATAATAAGCTTGTTGAGATAATATCTGGTGGTCCTAACTGATGAGCTAGTGGGCGTGGGTTCGGTGCAGACCCAAGACAAATAATTGTGTTTAGAATATTCACTTGTTTAAATTGTATTTAGTAATACAAAAGTATGTTTATCAGCAGTCAGTGTTTACTAAAACACAGGTTCTGGCATCGGACATTCGTGTATGAGGTCACAACTACTTATTTTCAAGTTATGATTATTAATTCAATAAAATTGAAAACAATGTTCACCTAACGAGCGTCGAACGGCTAATAAATTGAAAGATAATCTTATTTACAGTATGGTGGATTTTTGGCTTGTATCTTCATGATGGACGCGGGTGTGGCGGTTGCAGTGTCATGCTATCGGGACACTTTTGGGAAGAGCCTACGTGATGGACTTACGCAGACTATTATGAGCGCTAACCAGACAAAGACAAATTTTGATTTTACACAGGAAACTGTAAGTACATGCATACAAAGTTTTTGCTTCGTAGTTTTACTTCCGCTACATTGTTGTTTTCTTTACATTAATGATATACATTTATATATTTTTCTATCTCGCAAGAACGATATTTTTTTGCTGAATTCCTATGTGATATATAAACGTAAACATTCATTTACGTAAAATTTCATGGAGTAATATAGCGGCATATTTAATTACAAGGTTAAAGCATCTTCAATTCAATAGATTTTCTAATTTGACGTTTAAACAGGCGATCAGAAACGTACTGACACTGAACTCATATACTTACCTACATTTAGATCGACTGCACGGATGGCGTAGTGGTTTAAGCGGTCGCCACGCCGCTTACTACTACGCTGAGTGTTGTGGGTCCGATCCCCACATGGGACTACTTTGTGTGATACACAAATTTTTGTTCTGAGTCTGGGTGTTCTTTGTGTCCGTTTCATGTATGTTTGTTAAGTTCGCCTGCGACACAGGATATATTCCTAATGCGGGAGTTGTCTTTTTTAATTAAAAAAAGACCAGTACTCAACTACATAGCTACAATATCGTTAAAATTCTAAACAAAATATTTTCCTTATGGGTAACAGTTCCACTGCTGTGGAGTATCTAATTACACGGACTGGATACTACTGTCACCGCAGAAGGTGATTCCTCGGTCATGCTGCCTCGACCTACAGAACTGCGTCACAGCAAATTATAGCAAAGTCTACCAACGTGTAAGTATTTTTGTCCGGTCGAAAGGTAAAAATTTACTGACTTTTTGAGATTTTGTTTGGCAGAAAATATTCCGAAGGGACATAATGTGTCGATACCCTATCTTTGGTGTTTATAGCACACTGTAGATTATTCTCTTATAATAAGCGCAGTTTCAGTAACCTTAATTACGTTTCAGAATTATCTAATTATTTTTCTTACTAGTGCAAAACTACTAGTACCAAAAAGTTGTTTCATTGTTCTCGTACTAAGTTATTACATTTGGCCATAAAGTTGTCTGACCACATTACCTGATTATAGGGTTGCTACGAGGTGATCACTGAGTACTTGGAGAATAACATGGACATACTGGTGGGAATCGCGATCGGCACAGCCTTCCTACCGCTTATCGGCACGTTACTGTCTTGTTTTTTAGCCAGTTACATAAAAAAATCCAAGTACGACACCGTAAACTAACGAGCGACATACTCATCTTTTTTCATTATTCCTAACTCTCGACTGACGCTATCCATATTGGACATTTTGCATTATATTGATGTTTTAAGTAAATGTTTTGCTAATATTAATATTGCAATTAATCCGTGTTTAAAAATTATATTAAAATTTATTATTATTTACTTGTAAAAATGTATCTGTATGGTTCATGAAAAATATATAGCCTTATTTTAATGTTATTAAAGTTCAAGCAAGTACCTGATGTTATTATTATTTTAATTGGGCCTACTTTATACCTACTAACACTATTACTTTTTGTTACAAAAATTAACCACATTCTCGAATATTCGAAACAAACTGTCAAATAACTACGGTCAAGTATACTAATAAGTACTCCATTAATAATTTAATGATCACAATAAAAACAATTTTTCCTATTCGTTTTAAATAAAAGCCCTACATATACATATTATGTAGATAGGAACAGTATTCACTGAATTTTCTCTTCTCTCAATAAAGCATTTCATTGATAATTAAAAAAATAAATCTTTTTTAAATTTATTTAAAAATCACTTTCGTCTTATAAATATGTACAAACATGGAAAACCTCATTAATAGAGTATTTTACCTATGATGAAGCATTTCATTCATAAATAAAAAAAGAATTTTCATAAAATTTATTAAAAAATCACCTTTGTCCTTAAGATATGTAGGTACAAACATGAATAGCTCATTAATAGAGCATTTTTCCTTTTATTTTTATGTTAGAGGTGGCAGACGAGCAGACTAGTCACCTGATAGAAAGTGACCATCGCCGCCCATGAACGTCTGCAACTCAGGAGTCGCCTATCAAACTAAGAAAAATTCTCATCCTCACAGATTCACCTAAAATTAATAAATTATTTAATAATAATCATGTAACTATCAAGGTTAGTCTTATAATATTATGATTATTATTGATGTAAATTTGTCCCTCTGGTTATTTCTGCAACTTAACCTGAAATAGAGGTTTATTTAATTATACTATATAGAAAGTGACATTTTAGTCACTGTCTGAACTACTTTTATCCTCCTTTGCTTCTGCAGGCTGATCTTGTTTATAATGTCTATACTCTGGTTTCAACTCCCACATGTTTTTATGAGGATTCTTCAAATTGTAATTACATACTTCTTTCAATATCTCCTTGAGGTAAACAATTGGTTGTCTCGTAATCTGAAACAAGAACATGTTTTTTTTTTAATAATAATATTCAATAAAAGAAACATGTTCTTTCAAATGGTTATGTGTTTGTTAATCGTAATTACTAAAATAATATTTATCAAGCCTAGAATGTTGGCGCACGAGCACCGAGCAATAGCGGGGCGAGGAGGACGAGCGACGTCGCGAGGCGGTGCTCTTGATGCGAGACATCGCTTGCCTTATATAATTATTTTGAATTAGGTAGAACACACGTCTTATCTTATACAGACCACTATATTTCATTTATACATATTTTGATTTTACACAGGAAACTGTAAGTACATGCATACAAAGTTTTTGCTTCGTAGTTTTACTTCCGCTACATTGTTGTTTTCTTTACATTAATGATATACATTTATATATTTTTCTAGTAATGGGACCCTTATGCACGTTGGTCCTTCGATCCGGATCTGAACCAGCAACCTATGGATATTCCTTTTCTTATACATACTTATAAAAGTGTAAATAAATCCTAATGAATAGTTGTGGTCATAGTTCCAGTCCCATTCTTATGAAGTTATAGCATTATAACAAGTTGACACTTACGACCTTCTTCTATTATCCTATCTAAACACACATTAGAGTAACTAATTTCGACGTCATTCATATTATTTTATTATATAGACATAAGACATTTATTATATAGACATTACTGTCTATGAAAATGCCACCGGTTCAAAACTCATTTAAACTTTTTGTAACTTACTGAGTCACTTTTTAACTTTTTGAGAATTTATGGAATATGATTTAAATGAGTATAGTAAGAGTTGTTTAAATATCTTAGTAACCTTGTAGTCACTAAAAGTTGAGCAGTAAATTCACATTATAAACAATATGAATTTACTGCTGTGACAAATGTAATAACATTAGTTAGTGGTGGTGTAATGACATTAACATTTATATACTATGTAATATCAAATTCTGTAAATTATTTCAGTTTTTTTTTTTTGATTAAATTACATATTATACATTTTTCTTTCACAAATACAGTCAAGTAACAAAATTTAATGTTTTACCATTTATCTTGTAATGAAAACAAAGAGAAAATAGTCTGCAGACACAGGCACCACTTGTAATCAGTGATCTATTACACAATTCGCATCAACAGCCTTTAATAGTCCACTGCTAGACATAGACCTCTCCTTAGACAGGTTTTGGCTTACTATACCTCCCTGGCCAGATGGGTTGGTATAGGGTTTGTGTCAAGTTTTCTTTGAAATGCTGTTGTCCTGTGGCTCTTACTACACCCATGGGATGAATAGGGGTGGCGACATTCCGTATTCTTAATACGTCACCACATGGATGATTACACAATTGAAGCGAGGTAATAATCATGGTTCTAATGACTATTGTCATGAATTTTAGAATCACTTTTAAATAGGTCCTACCACTGAAAGTTTAATATGAGACAGACAGGTAGAAGTAAGAATATTAAATTTTCTCTAGTGTTGTGCACACATGCATGTGACCAACCAACATATTCTTCTTCTTCTTCCTTTAATTCAGTGGCTCCATCAGATGTCAATGATTTTGCCAATGTCTAGGTGGGAGGTAGATTTATTAGTTAACCAACATATTACTTTGAGATATGTCTGTATTATCTGGTTATAATGTATGTGGATTGAACACACACAGAAATAGGCATAGAACTGGCACAAAAATATGAACATTACGGTTGGACTGCATTTATAATCATTGACCGTCGTTGAGTTCTTGATAGAAAGCGTTTCCATTAGACAGTATTACGCGCAATCCTAGTATGAGGAAACATAAATGTAATGCAAAAGTTTGAAAATAATACACCTCTTTGACAGAGAGCAGAATAAAGTAAGGTTAAAGTGACTTTGTCAAAATACCTTTTGTAAGTCTTTTATATTATAATACTGATGTTTTTCAAATGCAGCAAACAGCATATTAAGAACAGCATCTTTGTCATCTCTTGCTTTCTTTCCTTCAGCTGTCTTCTTCTTCAGGTAATCAATCTGCAACAAAACAAATCAAAAATTTATTAATGTTTTAGCTTTAAAAAATCAAGTATAGAAGTTACAGAAGCAAACACAGTTATCACCTCATAATTCCCAGTCTTAAGGATAACTAGCAAATGATAGGTTATGGAAATAAAAAGCTAGACTTACATTATATTTATGATCAGATACAGGCTTGAATGTTGGGACTATCCTGTCTAACTGCAGCACTTGTCGTTGAGGCAAAGAAGCTTTTCTAATTGATTCAGACTTTAATTTATAATATGCTGTGTCTGCATACGGCCTACACTCAAGCTTTTGTACAATCCGCCCCTCCATATATAATTTCTCAGATTCAGGTACCACTGCATCAGTATTGGCAGCTAAAATAAAAAACAAACTATATTATACATCCATGAAGATATAAAAAAATACGAACCAATTCTAAAAAAAATTAAAAGCTTTTGACATGAAGTCTGCTCATAGGATTCATACAATTGTTAAGATATTCCTCTATTAATTTGATCTGTTTTTATATGCACTATATGAGGTTGTTGTCATTTTTCCAGAAACTGATGAACATGAAACCATAATATGAAAAACTAAAAATGTCAAGTAAATATGTATGTAATGAGTAAACTGTTTTCACAAAATATAAATATACCTTTCACTTACGGATCACATGCGAGAATACACCCAAAGACTGTCTCGTGACATTAGATACGTCGAGACGATGTTCTTTAGGTACGTTTTGTTCTCCAGCATCTTTGAGGCATAGAACAGCCTCCGACAGCGATAACTGTACCTGAGCACGTTGTCCCGGCACTCTTGATATCTTTAATTTGCCAACTTCGATGTTGCCTTGCGCTTTTTCCCATTTATTGGCTATGTATTTAGGAACTTTTACGAGCCAAACACCTCTTCCAGTATTTGACAAATCCAGTTCACGGTCAATGTGTGGAGCTGGAGTATTAGTTGCACTCATTTTAAATTAGGGAAAAACGATTAATAAAGAATTTTTATTCCGTATTTTAGCCTTAACTCACTTTTAAATACCTATGTTAAAGAAATTTATTAAAAAACCTTCCGCATCATCAGTTCGCAAATCAAGACAACTCAATACACATTAATGATAAATTGACAACTTGTCTTGACAGTTGATTCAGGGGTGCGTGGTGCAAGTACAAATCCACCAAATAGATCAAATAGAGGTGCATTAGCAACCGCTGATTACCGCTGCATGCAACTATTTTGCAGCAGTTGCATTACTATGCATTATGGTTGACGTAGTAAATTTTCAACATTTCATTCTTGAGGAATATGTTAAATTAATGTTTAACAGCTTTACAACCTGTATTTGAAATTGAAGACATTGTAAAGTATAGATGCTGTGGTAATGTAACAAAGTCTGATTTATATAATACTAAAATGACATTTCGTCATGATCGTAGAATAATGTCGGTTTTGAAAAAAATACTAAATTCAGTTTTTACCATATTTGGATACTACATTGTCTAATTTTATATCTGTCTATTACTACATTCAAGAAAAAAATATATGTATTTTAGGTTTTAAATTATTCAGTGTTTGTTTGGTAGGAGCATGAAGTAAAGTGAAGCATGTGATTTTCCTAGAAAACTGTATAACTATTAATTGTTATTTTTATTGCATTTTAAAACCAACCTATTTTTCACTTGTATGCCAATTTTTTTAGATACAGATTTAGAATTTAAAAAGTTGTGTCAAAAAACGATCATAATTATTTGAAATTGCTGCCCTGTAAAGTTCAATAAATGTCAGATACGACACTATTCTACGACTATGACGATTTGAATTATGGTGGGTTGCAGCGATCCCCCCCCCCCCCCCCCCCCAATCTGTAAAAAAAAACAATTATTTACAATATTATTCTATAAAAAAACTTTTTTTTTTTTTTTTTTTTTTTTTTTTTTTTTTTTTTTTTTTTTTTTTTTTTAAAAAGACAACGCCCGCATTAGGAATAAATCCTGTGTCGCGGGGGACTTTACAAACATACATGAAACGGACACAAAGAACACCCAGACTCAGAACAACAATTTGTGGATCACACAAAGAGTCGTCCCATGTGGGGTTTGAACCCACAACACTCGGCGTAGTAGGAAGCGGCGTGGCGACCGCTTAAACCACTACGCCATCCGTGCAGTCTTTAACTAAGAGGTAAACATAGCAGTACAATTTTTACTCTTATCTGCGTCTCTGTACAAGATGCAAAGTGACTTTTTAGCTATCAAAACAAATTATTTTTTTGGAGCATCAACATTCACAGCAGAAAAGAAAGCGCAGATAAGGTTAGGAGTGGGAACTTGCTTCGAACCTTCGAAAATAAAATCCCTAGATGTATGGCCTGCGCATGCACAAACGTACCACGCGCCTTCGGCAATTGACTGATTACGTTTTATTTGTTTGTTGCAATAACTATTGCATTTTATGAAATTCTAATGATAGTGTAGTTAGTTTCGAGTAGGGTGCAGTTTATCCACTGTGCAAAAAGTACGAAATTCGAAGTATTTCAAGTGATATAGACGGTGTAGCAGGTAGTATCTTTATTTACTTTTTACTCGTAAACTAAGAGGGTGCTGTTTTAATAATAAATAATTTTGGAAAGTGCTATTTAAGATACGTCGACTGGTATTTTTTTTTTATATCTCAAATTTACAGGCTGGAGTGGGGAGGGTGTTGCAGCGTTATGATATTGCAATAATAGTGTTTTGATCCTGAATGATCAAGTTTAGTTAGATTTATAATAGTAGTGGAATTTTCAGTATATAAACTTAAGTCATGCGTACGTATTTCCAGATATTATATCCAAAAAAACTGCACTGCCATGTGCAGCGTAACCTATATTATCTTTCTTTTCAATAAAGCCGTTTAACTTAAAACGTTTTAGACTTATTTTATTTTTAAGTTTTTAGTTTATACTTCAGCACTTAATATTTCTCATGTTATTAAATCATTTTAGCATCGTCATTAAGTAGAGTGAACTCATTTTGAATTTCAGTGCTTTCAGGTTCATAGTCTCCAAATAATTCTGGCACACTAAGTCGTATACGACGGTGGTCTGAAAAGTTTCCGACCTAACAATGATACAAGACCTTTTTTCAGTTTTTTATTTTATTTTTCACTATAGTCTCCTTGTAACTCTACACACTCCTCCCACCGATGCTTCCATCTTTCTAACCCGTCCAAATACGAGTAGTACTCGGCGTTTTTCTCTGCAAAATAATTGTTTACGAAGGAGATTGCCTCTTCATTTGACGAAATTCGTGGATTTTCGGCATGGCAACCGCTGAGGTACGTTGTCTTTGTGAAACAAAATTTTCTTTTGCTGCAAATGTGGCCGTTTTTCGGCAAGTTCTGCCTTCAGTTTGTCAAGTAATGATGTGTAGTATGCTCCTGTAATGGTTTTTATTTTTTGGAGATAATCGATTAAAATAACTTAATGACTATCCCAAAAAACAGTCGCCATCACTTTCAAAGCCGAAAAAACAGTTTTTGCCTTTTTTGGAGCCGGTCCCCTCTTTACAGTCCAGTGTTTGGACTGTACTTTTATTTCGTACGTATAATTGTGTATCCAAGTTTTATCTACAGTAATTAATCGGCGCCAAAACTTGGATTTATGGCCCCTAAATTGCGCCAACAGAGCGTTGGAAATTTTCATTTGAACACGTTTTTGGTCTAACGTGAGCAAACGGGGCAACGCGCGGACAGCTTTCTCATGTCTAAATGTGGATTTAATATGTGACAAACACGTTCTTTTGACATGTTCATAATCTCTGCTATCTCTCTCACTTTAATTCGGCGGTCGTATAGCTCCATTTGGTGAACTTTGGCGATGTTTTTGTCAGTAGTTGCAGTTTTTGAACGTCCCGAACGTTCATCGTCTCCCAAGATCTTACGGCCACGTTTAAATTCAGCTGTCCAATATTTTACTGTGGTAAATGATGGTGCAGAGTTCCCATACACAGAATCCAACTCATCTTTGATTTGCGTAGGCGTATTAGGCGTAGACGTACGTATTCATAAAAACACTCTCATCAACTCACTCAAACAACTGTTACATAACAACTCGTCCAAAATGGCTGAAACTTTGGCGAGTAATTGTCAACAGATGAACAACGAAATTCACTAGCTTTTATTCACGAGTGCTGCCATCTTCGTGTTGAAGTCGGAAACTTTTCAGACCACCCTAGTACTACAGTTCTGTTCACTAATTTGGTCATTATCGTCACAACATTGGATCCTTGTAAAGTACTTTTCGGGCGATAATATAAATTCTCTTGTGATCTTTAAATTTAAGACCAAGAGAGACTCTCGTAAGAGAGTAGATATATTCTTTGTTTAAGACGAACAAGCCGGTTTCCGAAAAGGCTGTAGTACCATAGACTACAAATATCGCAGCGTATGTTTGTGGTCTATGGTACTAAAGCCTTTTTTAGCCATTTAGCCTAAAGCATGTTAAACTTGACTTCTGTCTGAAGAATATAATCTTCGACTAAGTTTAGTGTTTGTAAACTAAAAGAAAGCTTTTGATTCCATCGAATTTTCGACTTGGCTCTTCAGTGCTGCCAAATCGACTGTCGGTATATCGAGGTATTGAGGTGGTTGCACGAGAACGCTACTACGACAGTCCCTCTACAGAATTAGAGCTCGTAACCTATGCAACTGCAACGAGGAGTCAGGCAGGGGGATGTAATTTCTCCGAAATTGTCATTGTCCTTATTGTCTCGAAATCACCAAAAGAGCAATGGAAAGGGCAAAACTCGGAGTATCTCTGCGTGATCGTATCAAGAATGAGGAGATCCGCAGATAATCCAAAGTCAGCGGGCGGGCAGCGTTTTCGATTAAAGCTCCCAGTCTTATTCCCAGGCTTATTTTTCATTCAGACATTCTTCATCTTCAACAATTATCGTCATATTAATGTTCACTTTACAGAAAACATGAATGAATTATACAAAAAACCTTTCTCATGAATCACTTTATCCATTGGTGAAAACCATATAAACATCCGTTCAGTAGTTTTTTAGATTATCGCGTTCATACAGACAGGCAGACGCTACGTGAGACTTAGTTTTATAATATGTAGTGATACTGATCAGATAGTGATAATGTACTGTATTTCACTAGTGAAGGCCTTTCATTTGAAACGAATGTTGTTGTCAATTGAAATTATTACTGGCGACGAAACATGGATATATCAAAAATTGCATAAATTGCATTACAATTGCAATCAAGTGTTTATGGTTCGAACTCCACACAATTCCTTATTGTATACTTTTTATTATTACATATACTTAATTTATCTTTTTTTTTGAAGGCATTTTCCTTAACAGATTGACATTGTGAAAATGTTGTAGAAAATTCAATTTCTTTTTATTTATTACCAATACCATATTAGAAGCAATTTGTTTCAGTAAGAAAGATATCTAACTTTATATTATTTAAGATGATATGGTTTGACCAACCTCATTAATTGTTTCTGTCATTTTTGCCGAATAAAAGCAAGAGAAATGACTATGTACTGGAGTAAATTTAAAATTATTTACGGTCTGGGAATAAATCATGAGGACGTCGTCTATAGCTGAACACACGGGTGGTCGATTTATTCCACATGGTTTTTTGACCTAACTCGATTGGATCATACATTATCATCGTATTGTTAGTCATTGAAATATATTTGAGTTAACTAAACAAGCGTTGAGTATCGGGTTACGCGTTTCCATTGTACCTATTTTAGGATAATTCACTTTGGAGTCACATTATGGTAATCTGTGATGGAGTCCACAGTGAGTTCGGAACGCAACCTTGAATCATTAAAAATGTATATGTCAAATTGTCAATAATGTTTCTAAATGCCACTCTTGTCAAATAGTGTCGAGTTTTTCTACAAGTTACACTCTTTAAGTTAAGTTAGAAATGTATGTGCTCAGCCTTTTGTTGAAATGTGCAATAGTTATTATTCCAATATAATTATAAGTGCTTTTCATTAGGTACCTAGTAGATTGATGTGAAATCATGTTCGGTTACAGTAAAGAAGCAGTTAGAGTGAAAGTCAAGGTTTGTGTTATGGTTCCTTGTTTTTTTTCATTATTAAATGTAACATCTGTTTGAATAAAGGTTTTATTATATATCTGACCCAACAGCTATAGTTACTGCATTAGTTTTTAATATTTCGTGGTTAAATGTATCTTGATATTAAAATCAATATTTGGAAATTCCAGTAACAATATATAAAAGTATGTCAGAAAAGTTTACTGTATGGAACCAAATTACGAAAGGTTTTTATGTAAATTAAACTAACTGTTTCTCTTAATGTAATAATAATTTCACTACAAGTCTTTGTATGTAATGTTTTGATTTTTGAACAGAAATGTGAAGGCAAGCTTCAACCAGAATTAAGAAAGTTTTCAGTAGATCCTCAGATTACTTCTCTGGAAGTGTTACAAAGCATTTTGGTGAAAGCATTTGACATAAAGTCTGATTTTACACTTTCTTATAGAAGTGTTGATGATTATGGCCAAGAAATATATTTACCTCTCTTATCTGACTGGGACTTGGATGCTGCTTTTCTTAAGTAAGTTTAGTGATCATTAATTACATAGTCTTAATGTACAGTTATTCTTCTCCAATACAAAAACAGATGTATGGTCATACTAGTCATAGTGAATATAAAATATAATTAACTCATTAATTATGTTTTCTGTGGTTGAATGATCCTTATGTTTAATTGCATGTTTTATCCTTATATTATTTTGCATTTCTATATAAACTTTCTGAAGATTGGCTAATTCTTTTTTTCACTTTGTTTGTAATAGGTACAGATTTCATTGATGTAATTATATTAATTGCATATAACTGTATTACATGAATATTAAGTGTATAAATTGAGTTAACACTGTTAACAGCTGTTATTTGTTTTGAACATATTTTCCTCATAATAATTAAGAATCTTAATTAAGTACTAGCTGTACCCTGCCCTGCTTGCGGTGGCACATTGTGGTTAAAATAAAATTTAGATAAAAACCATCTTTGAAGCATGCTGTAAAGATTTGAGCTCAATCAATGCAGTATTTTTTGAAACATACACAATTCAACATAGCATTTATATATACATATATATATATATATATATATATATATTGATTTATATTCTTACTGCTAGGGGAACCAGAGTGCTTGCCATTTATGTTATTGACTATGTAATGAAAAATTGTGCTCTGCCCTGGATCCTGACCAAACATGGTATTTTGAAAATATTCCACCCTCCCTGTACAGTGTTTTCCCTAGCGTTGAAACATAATTTTATAAATATTTAGAATTACTATTAAAAATTAATAAACAACTACAACTTTAGACGACCGAATGGCGTAGTGGTTTGTGTAAAGGACTGCTATTCCAAAGGTCGCGGGTTCGATTCCCGCTCAAGTCAAACATTTGTGTGCATGAACATTTCATGTTTGATTTGGTCTGGGTGTTTCTATGTATAATATGTATGTATTTACAAAAAAAAAAAAAGTATATATGTAGGTATTTATATCAGTTGTCTAGTACCCATAGTACAAGCTCTGCTTAGTTTGGGACTAGATGGCGTTGTGTGTATGTGGTAGAATATTATTATTAGAATATTATTATTATTAACTAATTTTCATTTTTAATTTAGTGTCAAGTGTAAAAATTTTGTCAAATGATTCTAAACGTTTCAATTCAAACAAAGTTTTGCATGAACAACAAATTGAATTAGAATAGGTTTCATAATTTTTTTGCTGTTCTGTATAAATTTTTTTCTGTTAGAATTTTCGTAAATTCTTTGTAGTTGTCGAGTTCATACCCTAAAATCATTGTTGTAAATGTTTAAATAGCAATACTTAAACAACATAAAAATTTGATGATGATGATTTTCAATGAATAAGCGTTTTTTTTAATTTAGGTTATTTTGTTTTATGTTTCATTCTGAATCAAATGCAGTAGAACTTGTGAGACATTTTTAATTCTCGCTACTTCAACCATCAAACTAATGAGAAAAAAAAAATCTCACTAGTTCGATGATTGAACTGATGGATCGAACTAATGAGAACAAACCCTCAGTCAAACTGTATGACAGGGAAAACGCAGCCATATTGTCTTAGAAAATATTATTATTACATTATTTTTTTAATTATTATTTCATTACATATAAACAAAAGCAACAACTAAAATGTTATTAAACATTCACTGCTCAATGGGCCTTAAGTATAAGTAGTGCTGGATGTTTACAAAGCATGTGTAAGGTTGTTTATAGTTTTAGTAAAGAAAAAAAAACAAATTACATTATGAAAGCATTTATTAATATCATTCATATTTTAGGGCACATAATATAGCTATCACTCAAAGATCAGAGCCATGTGTGCAATTAAAGGTGGATATGAGACCTTTTGCGGAGGCATCAGAAGATTGGGAGCCACCAAGTGTGAGTTCTTCTACTCCACTAATTAACCAAAGTTACAAAGAACAGTTGACATTTGCCCCTGCTCCACAGCAAAATGAGAAGCAAGAAACTCAAACTGGTTTCCAAGGAATGATCATGAACCAGGTATGTTTCACATCACATCAACAGCCTTTAACAGTCCACTGCTGGACATAGGCCTCTCCTTAGAAAGGAGGTTTTGGCCTACTATACCACGCTGGCCAGACGGGTTGGTATAGGGTTTGTATATAGTTTTCCTTCTCTCTGCAGTGCTGTTGTCCTGCGTATTTCGCTCCCTTAGTCGCCTCTTACGACACCCACGGGATGAATAGGGGTGGTGACACTCTGTATTCTTAATCCGTCACCACACGTATGTTTATTAGAAGAGAAATGTTATAATTACCTTGCTCTAAAAGTCACTCTACCACAAATCAGTTTATATCTATTGAAAAGATTTTTACCTCCAAGATTTTTAAATATGTAGAGCATGCTTTTTATCTGTATAAATATTATGGAATTTAATAAAAATTTAAGCTTTGGCAACATAAATCATATTAATTTATTAGCATACTTAATACTTCTTGTATAAACATGTCTAGAACCCTAACATTTCACAGTTGATGCTCACTAATGCACAAAGGTAAGCACACTTTCAATCTAGTTACTTGATTAGAAGTGTTTTTACCTATACCACAAGAATATTTATTCAGCTTTATTTTGTAGCATATTAGCAGAATTTCTAATGTTATGCTTGTGTTTTAAATTTAATCCTATAAATTAGAAATGTAGTAACTTAAAGTAAAATTAGGAAATTATTTTAAGTTATAACCAAAACTTATTTCAAAATGGTAGCACTTTAAATACACCATAGAAGCTGTAGCTTCATAAACAAGGAAAGGTAATAATAAAGTCATAAAAAAAGTATTGTATGAATCTCTTAATGCATCAATTCATAAAAAACCGGTCAGGTACGAGTTGAACTTGTGCGCTGAGGGTTCCGTACTTACCCAGATTTTACGTAGATTTTCGCGAAAATTTGAAGGTACCAAAATTTGTTAGTTTTGGTACTTACAAGTTTTCGCGAAAATCGAAATTTGTCCATATCTTTTTATCGTGTTGACTCAGGACTTTGATTTTCATACACTTAATAGGGACCATAAACCTAAGTATCTAGTATTAATTTCAACTGGTTAGGTCTACCCGTTCCTTTGAAAATCGGTGGTGACACACGGACAAGAACGAGATTTTATAAGGGTTCCTTTTTACCTTTTGAGGTATGGAACCCTAAAAATTGTCTAATCTCACACACACAAATAATCAAACACAAATATACAAATAGAATGGTATCTGGACCTTGGAAGTGGCCTCAAATCGGCTTCTTATCTTAAAACTAAAACAGGATTCAATGTTACGTAATAAGTATTAAAAATTATATTATAATTAGTACACTTATGTACTTCCTATACTTTCATCGATTAAAATACAGTTCGTTTAATTTACATAGCTAAGTTTTATTTTAAAACTATACGGATGTTCATCCTGTCTGATAAAATTTTAATCATCACGGAAACTATTTTACTGCTCAAATTGGTATCTGAACATAATATATTAACCAACAGGTTGAAAAAACATTTAACATGGTATCAAGAGCACTGAACCTTTATGAAGATCCTAACACACCGCCTAGATCACCACTGAGCGACATTGAGTTTAGAGCATTCCTGGATGCTGTGGGGCAAATCACAAACACGTCTAAACTCAGGGAAGTTATATACTGTGGAGGCATTGATCCTAGTCTGAGGTTTGTGTGTACACTTTACACAACAATTGCCTGTTAATAAAATTAATTCATGAAAAGATGAGTTAAATAGGGCTTTGTAACTTTTACATTCTGTTTATTTTCTACTTTCACACTAAATATTTTTTACTAATTTGTTTTCCAGAAAAGTAGTTTGGAAACATATCCTTAATGTATATCCGGATGGCATGACAGGCAAGGAAAGAATGGATTATATTAAAAGAAAGGCGAACGAATATTATGCACTCAGAGCTCGATGGAAAGATTGTATACAAAAAGGAATGGTTAGTAGGTGCTTTTTCTATATCTCTATGCATTCAGGATGTAAAAATGGAAACCTACAATGCATTTTATTTACAGGTTAATCCTGACTTAGCTTATGTGACGGGAATGGTTCGAAAAGATGTTTTAAGAACAGACAGACATCACAATTTTTACGCTGGCAGTGATGACAATCAAAACATAGCATCTCTTTTCAATATTTTAACGACGTAAGTTGTATTATGGTATTACTTATGTATTTTTATAGAATAGGAATACAATAAGAAATATTAATCTAAGTATTATTTGTAATTACTTTAATTTTTATAAATTTAGAACCACTTTACAAGTAATATTCAGTTTCATTATGTTACAAGCTCAAGATGTTTTAAATTTGTCTTTATTTGTTTATATTCAGGTACGCACTAAACCATCCTACTGTAAGTTATTGTCAAGGTATGTCAGACTTGGCGTCACCACTGCTAGTGACGATGGGTGACGAAGCACATGCCTACATATGCCTGTGTGCGCTTATGACTCGACTGTATCCTAATTTTCTGCTCGATGGAGATGCCATGACACTTAAGTTCTCACACCTTACTGAATCTCTCCAAGTTTATGATCCCGACTTCTACAACTACCTAAAATCTCAACAAGCAGATGACTTGCTGTTTTGCTATCGATGGTTACTGCTCGAAATGAAACGCGAGTTTGCTTTTGATGATGCCCTTAGAATGCTCGAAGTTCTGTGGGCATCATTACCACATAAAACTCCTACAATAGAATTGTCGTTGAAGGAGAAAGAATTTGATCCTTCGATGGATATAGATGATGATCCACCACCTTTGAGCCCTCTTGTCAAAGCACCTAGAGAAAACGCGTATACTAAGGTATGCGCAATAAGACGACAAAGCTCAAGTTTTAGTATTGCACAGGCAAAAGCGCCAAAACTAGGAACTTCTAAAACCTTGAATCATAGTTTAGATGAAAATATTACCCGAAAAGTGGTAGCTAATACATCCCTTAGACATTCTAAAGAGTTCCAAAGTTTAGATGACGCCGCTCTACAGCTTCAGAAGCAAAAAACAGAAAGATGTGAAATCGACAAACACAAAGAAAACACTGTTAAAACACCAAAAGAATCTAAACTCCATCGCGGTAGGAGTATGAAAAGCGTTCCAGAACATGAGAAATCCCAGACACAGGATAATCATGGCGCGTGGTCAAGTACAGGTAACTTGATGAACGGGAATTCACATGACGATGTAAAAGACATACCGCTAGGAAATCAAATAAGACTATTAAGGGATAGAATATCCGTACACAATAATAAATTCTTTTCATCGCTTGATAAACTTGACGACTCAGTTAGTATAGACTCATCCAGTAAACCAAAAGTAAAAATGATAAAAAACTTGAACGAGTTTTTGAATTTTGCGACAGGTAGTAAAGTTGGAGCTGTTACCCAGGCGAAACTCCAAAGGACACATTCCGTCATAGAAAAAACATCTCACAAAGAATGTCCTAGAATTACTCTCACAAAGACATCTCTAGACGATGTTAGAATGCAACCTATGAAAACTGATAAAACGAACAAGTTTAATAATAAGACTATTTATTCCGATACAAACGATGGCAGTAGCCCCGATGACTCACAGGAGTACTATCCCATGACAACATCAATGACTAGAGAATTAAGACTGGAATTAGAACATTTGGATCGTCAGGTTTTCGGTCCTTCATACATAAACAGATGTAGTATGATATGCGACACCCCCTCAGATTCTACTAGCACCGATGATAAACTAACACATGACTGTACCGAAGTCCGACAAGACACCATAGGCGTGCGGCCTGCAATTCCAGAATTATTAGAAAATATAAAAAAATCGCCTTTACTCGACACTGGTAGGTCTAATGCTAGAAGTGCTGAAGATATTTATCTTTGGGAAAATCCATTACACAGGAACACTCCAACGACGCGCACTACCGCAAGTTGTCCACAAACACCTGACGAACAGGCTGAGCTCGACTTTGACGGTGACACGGGCGAAATTTTTGAAGAACATTCTGGCAAAAAATCCGTTACACCTATTAGATTGTTAAGGAAAAATCAGTCTTTAGATCCCCAGGAACCTAAACATTCTAGTATACATTCCAGCGAATCAGAGTCTTCTGAAAAAGATGTAATAGAATCAGAAACGGATAGTGTAAAAAACAGTCAAGAACAGATTAATACCTCTAGGTCTCAAAAGTTTTTTTCTAGCATGTCACAAGAATTGGAAAATGCGAAAAGAAATTGCGAATCTCTTTTAAATGCTAAACAGTCAAATTTACATAGTGTAGCCTCTACTATTAATAATTTTCAGAAAAAATATGAGGCATTTAAACCGCCGATACAAAAAACTGCTAGTGTCTCTTCGGTGACCAGCGACGGCTCTACCAAGAGCAGCGTTAGCAGCTTGCCGCCTCCAACGCTATTTGGAGGGGGCAATCCGTTTCTCATGTTCTTATGTTTGACTGTATTATTACAACATAGAGATTATATTATGAGAAATCGTATGGATTATAACGAACTAGCCATGCATTTCGACAAAATGGTTCGTAAACACAATGTGAACAGGGTACTGAACCAGGCGCGGCAAATGTATGCTATGTATTTAAAACAACAAGCACATAAGACTGGTGATTTAACTACTTAATTGTACGATCTCTAACTAAAATAATTTAATTGCTCATAAGATATAATTTTGGTTCTATTAAAATGTAGTAAACACCAGTAGCTTAAGAAAACTACGATAGTAGTAAGGTATTTAATCCCAAGTTTGTGTAAAATAGTCCAAAATTTTGAACACAGTTAGCTTCATAAGGATAATAAATATTGTTTTATTAACATCGTTTCAAATTGAATCTATGTAAATTTAAAAAACTTAATCAATTTGTGCTTACTATATTGCATTGTATTTGTTAGCTTTAATGTAAATTCTGCCGTTAATAATACTGTATATTAACTCTTTGTTACCTTCTTATCAATGATCTAACTTCGTATTTAATATATAATACTGTAGTCTTAGCACTGTATACACTTGATGACAATTCCAAAGAGCCTTTATTTCTTGAAAGGTATTGTGATATTTTATTTTATCGTATTATGTACTTATTTTATGACAATAATTAATTAGTTTTACGTTATTGTGCAGCTTATTTATGGCGTGGCGTTATGCATTTTTTTTATCGTACCTATTATATTCGATGAATTGAATGTCATAATTCTAGTCTTGTTTCATAGAAATGGAAATGCTGAAAGTTGCTTGCAGGCCTATGCATTTATATTAGAGTTGTGTAGCTCCTGAGTGAGTGATCTAAAAGATATATATCATTCACGCCGATAAAATGTATCACTCACTCACACTAGCCCTGAATGTTTCAGTAAGTCAGTTCTAGCTAACTAGATCACTAGCTCAACGACGCCGATCTTTGTTTCATGAGCGAGTGCGACTAAAGATAAATGAGTATGATAGATAATGGTTGAGTTCACGCTAATTTAGTTTATTTAGGTAAAATGTACATTATTTTAACAGGATCAAATTTTAACATTACTTAATTATTATTTGAAAATTCAGCCTGCCAAGTATGAAGGAAAATCAATTTAATATGTATGATTTCTTCTTGTACTTTTTATTAGGTGATAACTAATAAAAAGTACAAAAAAAAATAATGTATATATATATTTTTTTTAATAATTTTATGAAAGGGTATTAATAATAATGTATCTCTTAACAAAATGAAAAAAATAGGGTTAAAAATGAACTTTCAAGAACTGAATTTAGATTAATATGAAAATAAAGAAAGGTTTGTATGAGCGAGAGAGAGGTTTGAAGTGAGTGATATATGCTGATAACGATCTAGATGAAGAAATGAATGAATTAAGAGACCAATCAATTGAATTGGATCACTGAGCTAGTGAGCTAGATGAGTGATATATATCTTTAGAGCGAAATTATATGTATCTATCTTTTCAGCTCAGTGATACATTTTGCGCATCACTAATTCAATCTGTATTTACAACCAATAAACACAAACTTCGTATTCTTTCAATTTGATTAAAAACACAATTTGTATCTATTTAAATGCTACAACTTTAGAACTGTAAATAAACAATCTGACTATTGCCAAATGTCGTTATTTTAGTAGTCTTTTTATGGTCATTTTTTTATGGCATAACTATAGCAGATATCGCAGATAGGTCACCTGATGCTAAGCTAATACCGCCGCCTACGAACATCTGTATCTGCAACAAGGTACACAAGTGCGTTGCTGCCCAAGAATTTTCGGGCCTCCGATGACAATGAGTTTTCTATTTAATTAAATACAGATTTTTCGGGCACACCGTAAGAATACATATTACCTTGTTTTTACTTTGGACTTCTGAAACTTAGCATTCCATGATATGTATAAATACCTTTGATTTGCCTGACGTTTCAACTAGGTGGCACTGCTTATGGCTATAACCTCACATCACTTCAACAGCCTTTAATAGTCCACTACTGGTCATGGGCCTCTCCTTAGAAAGGAGGTTGTGGCCTACCTACTAAACCACGCTGGCCAGGCGGGTTGATATAGGGTTTGGTTTGACCGGTGGGGTGACGGTCCGAGAGGATTTCCACACGTTAAAAAAAAAAAAAAAAAAAAAAGGTTTGTTTTTGTTGTCCTTGAGACGGAGCCCGCGCCAGGAGCGGGCCGGCGCCCGTTTTTGCGCCCATGGAGGCGCCCTTACAAACTTGTACTGGGCAAGCTTAGACAGTGGGTCCCCCCGCTGACGCAGATCGTGGACCCGCAGTTTGTAGGAAGAGTGGTAAGAGACCCTATTCCCCAGGGACCAGAGTAGTCCCTCACGGCCTTCGTAACCGTCGGATCCGGTTGCGTGGTCCGACGACTTCGGTGTGACGGAGGAAGAGCTGGACCGAGCCGTGAAGTGACTCTCCGCCCACAACACCGCCCCGGGCCCTGATGGGATTCCGAGGCGAGCATGGGTGTGCGCTTTGGCGGTCATAGGGACTAGGCTGAGGCTGCTGTTTACCAGCTGCTCGAAGAAAGCCAGGCTGGTACTTTTCCAGAAACCTGGCAGGGCTGCAGATTCTCCTTCGGCGTTCCGACCGATATGCCTGCTGGACGAGGTGGCGAAACTCTGAAAGAGTTATTGCCGCCCGTATCAACTCAGCACCGACTTATCAGACAACCAATTTGGCTTCCAACAGAGACGCTGGACCCTAGACGCGATTGAACGCTTGCCGTGAATCTTTGCCGAGCTTGTCCGTCGGGACGGCGAAGAATGACGAAGGGACGTTACATGCGGAGTTCCCTAGGGGTCGGTCTTAGACCCCTTCTGTGGAACCTCGCGTATGATGCCGTTCTCAGGACCAGCCTTTCCCTTAGGATTGAGCATCGTCTGCTACGCAGACGATACTCTAGTACTGTCTGCACCATGATAACTTTGGAACAATAAACCAAAGACTGCAATAAATTAAATTACTTGTAAACAATCACCTGTGTGTTCAAATGATTAATATTGTTGTGCTGAACTCTGCTGACTGGACAGTGACAAATAATTACAGGGAAATGCCGGCTCTCTCGCTTTCTGCTCGGGTGAAGTCGGACGAGTTCGGCTCGCCTGGCGCGAGACACGTCACGCGCGATGAATGCCGCGCTTTCCCAAACACCGAGAGAGAGCTCTCGCTCTCTCGTTCTGTCTGATGCGTTCGGAAGTTAGTATATTTTAAATAAGGTCAGTCTGATTAGATTCGATATCGATACCAAGTACTTTACGCCCGGTTCGCCGGCGGCGAATTGGGTCCGAGTGGAGGTCATCCTCCCGGGCCCTCTCCGCCCCCTGTAATATCTGTCACTACCGGCCATGGAGCATATGACGGCCGGTAGCGAGAGGTCCCCTCCGATGACTGCAATGAGGACAAAGCGCTGCGACACCTAAGCCGGGCAAATTGCTTCCCGAAGCAGCCGTGCCCGGAAAGGACCTGCGTCAGTCGGAAGGAAAGGGTCCCATGCTGCCGCCCTGCCCATTCAATGATAACCAGGGACGACCAACGAGTCATCGTGGCTCGGCGAGCGGCCTCATGCCACTCGCGTATCTCTTCGGGCGGGGGCCGACTGCGACTACCCGCCCGGCAGACAGCCGTCCGCCGATATACTTCGGCGAGCACATCCACCTTCAAACCCTACGGGGGAGTTCCGGCCAACGCACAAGCCACCTCCGTCGAAACGGTGGTGTGCGTTACCCCAGCAAAATAATGTCGAAAATGGTCATTTAAACTTTATAGATAATTAGTTGCTCCCCTTCTGTAATTGTTAAGCACATTTTTAAATTTGTTTCACTTAAACTTTTTTAGTTATTTCAAAAAAACATTTCCTGCTGGAGTAACGTTTGAAACGTTACCGCAGCCAGACATTTTCTTTTTTAATTGTAATATTGAAATAAATTTTAGCTAAATAATTAGTTATCTGGACTAGGTAAATGTTACAACTTATTTGGTATTTGTATTTTCTTCGGCTGCGAAGTTATTCGAAATCCTGCTGGAGTAACGTTTGTGGGTTTGCTGGATCTCTGAAACGGGTAAGCGGATTGTAACCATCTTTTGTACATAACTTCTTAAGGATTAGTTTTAATTTGTTCGACAATAAAATAACAAAAATAATGGACCGTTTAAAAATTATTTAGGTAAGTATGAAAACACTTCAATACGTCCTAACACTTTAAATAAGACCTCTAAAGACTTACTTGAAACGTTATTCTATTGCTTGTAACTACCTTCAAATGTATACGAATTTTCGTAAGAATACTTAAAGTGACTAAAAAGTTATGATGAAATGTAGCTCTCCACGTTCACGATCACAATGTGTGCGGCCTTTTTTGGCCACCGATAAACCTGTGTGTGGATATATAAACTGAATGTTATGCCAATAATTAGTTGTTTAGTTCAGTTGTCTACCTGTAGAATTTCAGCGTCGTACATATAATAATTTACGAGATAATTAAATAAAAGTCATTAGAAGGTGCAAGTCCGTGGTAATCCGACCATGTTTAGGTGGTTACAAAAAAGCGATCACCCAGTACATTGCGCTGTCTTTTAAAATGTTTAGTGTAATACACCTTACGATTTCGGTACAGTTGCGTACAGTGTTAAATACATTCAATATTTATTCATTATTATTAACTATATTATATATTATTCAATATTATTATTACCTATTATTTATTTTGTTTTTTTCCCTAATTGATCTTAAGCACTTGTTTCTTTACTTAAAATTTATTTAGTCTTTTTTACTACCGGAGCTACAATCAACAGAAAATCTGGACTGGTCCGCTAAAATTATAAATATGTAGATACATGTATGAACGATTCACCTGACTGCAATAAAACGAAAATTTAAACCAATAAGAAATCGTTTCATTTCTTTGATTTTTTTTGTAAAGAAATAACACTAAAGTAATTGTATTTTATTTTGGGGTGTATAGAGCTTAGACTTGAATGCATCAAAATATTTAAAGCAACAAGTCATCTACAATAAGTTAAAATAGACCGAATAGTAGAAGAATACAGTTGTAAATTAGATTGCATCAACATTGCATCGCCCAACAGTCGTATACCTCGTAAGAGTAGGTAATATTGTTCTGTGGTCTATACCTAGAACCGAGAATTATCTATACCTATGTACCTACCGTTAAGCGTTGAGCCCGTGACTGTTGATTTCTGTTAAAAACGAACAGTTGTTGAATGATATTTTGATATAATAACGGTAATTTAATTTATCGAGTGAAAGTGATACATTTTTATAGATAAAATTATTGGTCAGATAATATTTGTCAATCAAGAATCGCTGATAATACATCCTTCGCTAGAACGCGGGAGGGGAGGGGCGAAGGGATACTTCATTGTTTGCAATTTGCATCTAGTGCACTAAACTTGACCCTTAGGCAGATAATATACGTGTTGTAAAGTACGTGTGCGCTTCCGCTTCCTATTTTTGCAAATATTTATCGTATTCTTGAGAGTTCTTCAATATGTGTGTACCTAATTACTAATAATAGGCATTAATGCTAATTCGATTCAATTTAAGTAATTGTCAATTCTTGTCTTAGGATATTAATTACTAATGCTAATATTGAAATTTCGTTCAGGGTGAACAAATTAAAAACGATCATAACTTTTAGGTAGGTATATCACTTATTACTAAGTTTACATAAATAATTTATTTTATTATAATTTAACTCACCGCGATTTTGTGATCAAATATTTTATTTTCTCCAACATTATTACAGAAATAATGGAATACAGAGTTTGTTCGCGATATGCTAGCCTAAGTCGATTCATCACTTAAAAAAATCCCCATCTATTCACAAAATACCTATTTACAACGCATACGTTACACTCTTCAAAACTTAAATTACCTAACCTAAAATTAAACTTCAATTAACAAATACTACGCAGGTACCAATTCTATGAACAACTATAAACAATTCACCTAAACATTACGAGAAAACAAAAGCATTCAAAACAATACCTAATCTCCCGGCTGATTACTAATTATGCAATAAACAATCCTAAATAAAAATTATTTAAAAAAACATGTAGTTTTTTGTAACACTTATGTACATATCCGTAGTAAACTTGCAAATAATATCCTACATATTTTAAAAGCCAGCACAATGTACTGGGTGATCGCTTTTTTGTAACCACCTAAACATGGTCGGGTTACCATGGTCTTGCACCTTCTAATGACTTTTATTTAATTATCTCGTAAATTATTATATATACTACGCTGAAATTTTACAGGTAGACAACTGAACTAAACAACTAATTATTGGCATAACATTCAGTTTATATATCCACACACAGGTTTATCGGTGGCCAAAAAAGGCCGCACACATTGTGATCGTGAACGTGGAGAGCTACATTTCATCATAACTTTTTAGTCACTTACAGTATTCTTACGAAAATTCGTATACATTTGAAGGTAGTTACAAGCAATAGAATAACGTTTCAAGTAAGTCTTTAGAGGTCTTATTTAAAGTGTTAGGACGTATTGAAGTGTTTTCATACTTACCTAAATAATTTTTAAACGGTCCATTATTTTTATTATTTTATTGTCGAACAAATTAAAACTAATCCTTAAGAAGTTATGTACAAAAGATGGTTACAATCCGCTTACCCGTTTCAGAGATCCAGCAAACCCACAAACGTTACTCCAGCAGGATTTCGAATAACTTCGCAACCGAAGAAAATACAAATACCAAATAAGTTGTAACATTTACCTAGTCCAGATAACTAATTATTTAGCTAAAATTTATTTCAATATTACAATTAAAAAAGAAAATGTCTGCCTGCGGTAACGTTTCAAACGTTACTCCAGCAGGAAATGTTTTTTTGAAATAACTAAAAAAGTTTAAGTGAAACAAATTTAAAAATGTGCTTAACAATTACAGAAGGGGAGCAACTAATTATCTATAAAGTTTAAATGACCATTTTCGACATTATTTTGCTGGGGTAACGCACACGAAACGGTGCGGTAACCGCGTATAGCTCTAACCGCCAATATCCTCTTAGGGCGCCAGAGGCGTGCCCTATTCTGGGCGATCAGAGCTGCCGCCCATACCGGTGCACCGTACAGTGCCATTGACCCCCGTGTACAATCGTCTTGTCGCAACGCTGGGTCCACCCAAATTGGATAAAAGTCACCCTAGGACAGACGCAGCGCCGACCAGCTTTGGAGGAAGCTGTCGGAAGTGCTCGTCGAAGAGCCACCTCCCGTCGAGGATCAGACCCAGATACTTCATCTGGGCCCGAACCGGTACGAGGACCGAGTTGACCAGGATTGAGGCGCCAGGGGATGGACCACGACAGGGCCCATTTAATAAGCGGGTGTCCGTCTTATCCAAGCCCAACCCGCAAGCCCAGCGCCTCAATGCGCCGGACCACCAGAGGGCTCCCCTGGTGGCCAGGCGTGCTAAAAATTAGGCCAACCAATGAGTCCCACTCTGTTACAATATTTAAAAACAAATCAAACATCATGAAAGAAATTGAAAGTGATCAAAACAAAGAATCTAAACCTTATTTCCTTACAAAAGCCGCCTAAGGCGAAAGCATCCGTACCTAAGTCTTAAACTCGAATTATTTGGCGTGTCCCTTGAAGTTCGGCTTGCAAAGGTTCCACTAGGAAAATAATTTACACGATAAAGATAAGGTGATTTTATTAAAAAAAATTACAAGTATTAAAATTTTATAATTAATCATTAAAACTTACAATATACTGAAATTATATTACCTACATGAAAGTAAATTCGGTTGTTATTACATCGTGTAGATTAAATCTCAAACAAATAAATCTGAAGATTATTTTTAGAACTGAAGAGTTAGTACATCGTGTCGTGTAGAGCCGAGCGCATCACCCGCCCCGCGTCCGTTATAAGTTACCATCGCCGATGTAAGCGATGTAGATTGAGTCTTCATCGATAGCAAGCCTGAAAGTCCTGTCTACGCACAATAAATTACCTATGTAGAGTGAATCGTAAAAGTAGATAAGTAAGGAATAACGTTAATAAAACTCATATTTAAGTAAATTAACTTGATAATTTATTGTTCCTAAAATGCGTAGTTAACTTGATAATTTATTGATCCTAAAATGCGTCGTTCTGTTCTGGGCAAATGGCAACAATCATTAGATAATAGCAACGAAGTTAGGATTTATATTATAAGCAATAGGATTTACGAATTAGTTATAGCGGTAAGCTAAAAAACGTAACACGCTTTTTGTTATTTTACAAACATATTCCATTGATTTTTATTCGATGATCATATTTGTCATATACCCAGAAAACAAAGCCACACTATAACCACATTCACTACCTTAATAACTAAATAATATCACATGTGTGTATTTTTCGTTCAGTCGAGTGTTATCGAGATTTTTCATGGTTTTACACTTTTTTAATTTAGTTTTCATTCATAGGCTGTCTATTCATTGGTTTACTTTCTCTTGTTGCCGCCTCCTGACATAATCATAGCAATACGCATGAAGATGTTAATGATGTCCAGGTAAACAGAAACGGCTCTGTAACAATTTAAATTAGATAAGATTTTAAATTAAGACTGCAGATTGATTAAAACGAAAAAAAAACAGATAGGACATTGACAATCCTTTTAGTCTGATATCTAAAGTACCTTCTCACAGAAAGCTATTGATATGCTACTGATTTTAGAAACCCCTTAGGTACTATGGGGGTAATATTCATAAAGGGCCTAGAACACTCATAGAAGTTTGAGCAAAAATCGTCGGTACCCAACTATTGCAGTCATTCCTTAAGTCCTTCCTCGCTGTACAAGCTAGTAACTTGAGGGTCTTCTAGTATTTAAAAGTAATCAGCGCTGTTTGACTTTTTAGAGCACAAATAACATAGGGCAGCACTGGATATTTTCATGTAGTTACGTCACTTCGACATCAACAGCACAAAGGAAATAGCCTCTAGTATAATAAAATATTATGGTTCGGCCCAATCCTATTTTAATTCATAAAAATGTAATGTTATTCTCTTTGTTTATGAAAATAGATCACTTACGAGTCGATTGGATCGTAGGGTCGTGGTCCGTACACAGGAGTAATTTCAGCACGTTTGACTATTGCTTGAGTGTCATAAAGGAGGAAACCACTGAATACTATGAGACCACCATACATGCTTAAGGAATACAATCCTGAAAAAAAATATTCATAACATGTAAATACATACTGAAGAAAGGACATACTTAACATATTTTAATTCTGTGCCTAGATTGGTGAACTTTTGCATTGTGCTTTTAGTGTAAAATATTATTTATTCGATTTTTTTGTATATGTGAATAAAATATCTTGGAACTTTTTGCAGTTTGCAATGTATATAACAATTTTTGACCAATGGCCCGATGACTTTTTAATAGTTTGGTAAACGGTACATTTTAAACTTATAAGAAACTTATCTATCTCATTTTCATAATATGGCAATGTTGTTGATATCAACATTGATGACCTCTATTACTATATCCTCAGTCCGTTATTCAGAATCCGAGTGCGAAAACCGGTATTTTGACCGATTTCAGTGGCATCTCAATAGTGTGCCAATGGAATGACAGTGGCTTGGCGTTAAAATAAACAAGCAGAATTGAGGCCCAGATCTCCCACACCAACGTTGTGTCTATACTTATGATACTTCACAATGTAAACATATATAACAAGTAAAACAGCAATGAACTTTAAATACTGTATGTGTAAATCATATAATAATGATAGTAATATAATAATGTTACTTGAGATGTAATCAGGTATTCGCATTTAAGGACTAAAATATATAATGTACAATAGAGAGTCCGTTATCCAAACTAATGAGGGATTTGAGGGAACATGTGTTTAGAAAAACCTTTTTTTTTTCGCTTTATCGAACTGTATGGAATAATATATACGAGAGGATATTTTATGTACATGGAAGTTCGGATAAACAACGCTCTACTATAAACGATTTACGAGTTTTAGAAATCAAAGATGAAACTTAATAAAGAAGTGACAAACAAAATTTTCAAAATTAAAGAATGATAAGAATGTAAGTGCGTTCTAAACTAAGCTGGTAGTGGAGTGTCGAGATAACATACCTGCCCCCAACGCGGAGGTGGGCGGCAGGAACATGCCGGCGAGCGAGGCGGCGAACACGGCGCCCAGCCCCATCGCCAGCGGCGCGCGCATGTTCAGGAACTCGCCCGACGGCGCGCAGATGGCGATCGTGCTCAGCCCTCCCACCACTCCTGCAGTGTACCTGTTCCCCATATCCACATTAGTCCTTACCTCATTAAGCACACCTGTAAACCCAAATATAGTGCACCGCTTATAGGGTAATCGAGATAAATATCACTGGCAACTAGCAATGCACGTTGATTTGCAACATATACTTTATTTGGAGCAACTGAGATATGTTGGAATACTGCTGTCATTTTACACATATACGAAAGATAAAATCAATCCTTTGATGAAACAGAAAAAGTTAAAATTAGACTGAAGAAGGAATATCATTGTCCTGTTGAATTAACCATTTTCTCTTTACAAGTGCATAATTCTAATTTCCAATTGTGCATAATTTACGTATTTTGTAAATTTTAAAACAATTCCGACAGGTGGACTCGACTTGTGTCAGAACTTAACAATTCTGTACCTCAATTTAATAAGTCAAGTAATTTAATTGTTATACATTAAAAATGGTTATAACACACTTTTAATGTATAACAATTAAATTACTTGCAAAATTTCAAATTTGCATAATCGTAAGGTTTATTATACAGCACTTGTCATATAACTTTACAAGTACATCACTTATTTACGAAATTGTCGGATTGTAACGTTTATTAAACAGGGCCCAGTTTGTGTGTCAATAAATAAAATACTCAAGAAGTCTCGTAGAAAAGAAATGACCGAGGGTTTTTCGTAGTTTATAAGATTCTTCTTTTATATGTTACACTAAATGAGAATTAACAGACTCATACGCAGATAAACTAGTTTATGTTAGCATTAACGAAACTATTGCATTACTTTTGCAATTAAAAACTATGTTACAAAATATCCATTTTTTTTTAATAAGCCAACATTTCCCGCATTAGGCATGTATCCTGTGTCGCAGGGGACTTCACAAACATACATGAAACAGACACAAAGAATATCCAGACTCAGAGCAACAATTCGTGGATCACACAAAGTGTCGTCCCATGTGGGGATTGAACTCACAACACTATAGTAGGAAGCGGCGTAGGAAGCGTAACCTGGCGTGGAGACCTGGTGTCCTGGAATACAAGCTCAGTGCTTAGTTAGGCACCAGTCTCCCACAATATTGTGTATAATGATTTACCTTTTTAAGTGTACAAGAACTTGTATATATGCAAACAAGTATTGTTGTGAGAAATAAAGATATTATCATTTTTATTATATTGCTTACCATGCAGCTCGAGTCAATATCGGTCCTCCAAGAAAGCAAATAGGCGCAATTACGGCACCCATAATACCGGTGTGTACAATCCATGCCAGTTGTTTGGCTCCAAATCCGGGTTTATAGTCCATACCACGAACCACCATACCAGACCCGACCATCAAGCCCAAGGTCAATAATATCGACTGAAATAGATTTTTTTAAATAATTATAAAGGGCATTAATAAAATAATACAACAAAAAATGTTTAGCAGTACATGAGACCGATTGTGAAGAATGTGCTTAAAATTATTAAAATACAGACAGATATTTGTCTCAAGGTAAATAAAACATAGTGTTTAGCTTTGATCTCATTTCGAGTAGTTATGTTTTTTTATGCAAAAATATATTTATCGTTTTTTTAGTTTTGTTGAAATATTTTTGTATTTTTTGGTACAGCTCATCAAAGTAGACAGTTGATACTGCACCCTAAAGAGCTTCCACACCAAGGTGTGGAAGCTCTTTAGGGTGCAGTATCAACTAACAGTTATCAAGATAACAGATTAAATTAGTAGCAGTTGATCATGCTTGTTATTTTTCGTCTAAACATAAGATACATAACAATATCAAGCCACTCATCAAACATGTCATTTGTCTACATAAGAATATTATTTTTCAAATTATTCATTTATTCTTTTTTTTTTCATTCAAGAAAAATTAACCTAAAGAATTTGAAAATAAATCATAAAATGTATTAAACTTACCATCCATCCATTTCTTGCAACCAGCTGGAGAAGTGCAGGAGTTCTGAATACTGTTATGGCACTGCCAGCAGTTATGACAAGAGATCCAGCAATATAAGCATATGTAGTCCTGATTCGATCTTTGACATACTGTGGCCAAAGACTGAAATGAAATATTAGTTAATAAGAAAAAATACTGAGCATTAATTCTCGTATAAAGCTTGACACTGACATAATAATTACATATATGTATTTATTTATTATACAAGCCTTTCATTTCATTTAATGCAGTAATAGTAGCTACTTAATTTACAGAGTTATTTATATAAAGACTAATCTCTTTTAATGATATGCGGGCAAACAAGCAGACACCTGATCGAAATTGACTCCTGCCGCCCATGAACGCCTACAACTCAAAAAGACACAAGCGCGTTACCGGCTTTTGAAAGGGGAGTAGGATATTTTCTTGATGGCGGTCGTATCGGTCCGAAAATACCGCAGGCGTCAATTTGGAAGCTGACCCCAACGATGTTTGGGGAAAGGCTTGGAGAAAGGAAAGAGGGAAAGGAAAGAGGGAAAGGAAAGAGGGAAAGAATATACTTTTCAAATCTGTATGTAGTTAGCATGTAGTAGTATAAAGTTAGACAAAGGTACTTTAAACCAAAATTTTCCTGAAGTAATTCAGATGATTATAAATATAAAACTTTTGATTGTATTAAGGTTATTATTTTCTATGTCTAAGCCTAACTGCACACACTCCATAATATTGACTGTTTTTATTCTACATTTTAAACATAAATACACCGTCCGCCTTTTTTGAAATCATTTAATTAACTAAAATATTGTCGCTCGACCGCACACGACAATATAATTGTCTATACTCCTGCCTCCCTGTGATATTGACATGACAAAATCAGAATTTCTGGGAATCCACAATAATATTGAACAATACCGCAATATGGCACAATACACGCACAATTTAATGGACAATGTGTATTATATAGTCAATATTATCCTTGCACCTACCGACTATTACTTTTTCCAAAATTTAGACAACATTTTAGTGGGTAAAAAATTCAATCCCCAAGATGCAGTACAAAATGCCTTGGAAGAGTTTGTTGCCTCCCGTCCAGCTGATTTTTACAAGAAGGGCATCAATAAACGGCCAATGCATTGCAAAAATAAGTACTTTCACTTATTCCATACAAAACAGCAATTTCATAGGTAAAGACCTATTAGTTAAGTAGTTATGTAGTACTGTAAAGTTAAATAAATGTCAGATCTGACACTATTCTACGACTATGATGATATATGTGTACTTAGTAATATGTAACTAGGTATATCAGCATTCTAGTTACACTAATACAGGCCCTGCCTAGTCTGGGACCAGACAGCCATGTGCGAGTTATGTGATGTCATTGTTATATTGTAGGTGCAGGCCACTTCCAATTGGTCTTGTAAGAAATTGTTGAGGGAAGCCTATGTGAAGCAGTGCACATCATATGGTTATGATGATGATGCAATTAATGTTATTGTCAATTTAAAATGCAGGAAGTGTTAAATCAATAATAGATTTATATGTGTAGGTATAATGCAATCAGTAGTGCCTGATAATTAAAAATGTTTTTATTCATTGAGTATAGATCTTAGTTGTTTCTTCTGAGTTAATTATCTTAAAAATAACAGTTTATGTTTAGGTGTGAGAAACAATTCGCACAAGCATAATATGTTTTGAAAAGTTGCTATTTTTAGCATTTCACTGAGGTTAACATTGTTGTTGAGGTTGAATCATGTTTTAGTGATAGTAAAAGAGTATTAATGTTAATAACAATAGTAACTTACTAAATTAGGTATTCAACATTTAGCAAAATAAATTTAGAATTTCATGAAGAATAATATATAGAAAATATGAAGAGATTTGTACAAAAAATATAAAAATGAACAAATATTCAAATTGATTATTTTTGATCACTCAGATCTGATTACATAAAAAGGTACAGATATTTTTCAATATATTTATTGATATAATATAACAGAATACCAATAACATTGTTTAGCAATAAATCATACAGTTAATTTTTACTTACTGTGCTTCAGCTAATGTTCCTGGTTTGGAGCTGGTACCATAATAACAGAGTGCAAGGAGCCCCATTGCAGAAGCTCCTGCTAGTGCACCCTTCCCTAGGCTGAAAGCTAAAACATTTTTTGAAAATTTTAGAGCCACACTTATGATAGCAAATTCAATCCCAATAAAATGACAATACTAACTTTGATCCTGATTTTGAAATCAGTAAAATGTAGTCATTGCTGTGAATATTGTTTCCAATAATCTAGGGTTTACAAAAGACTTACCATTTGGACCTGCTGGAGCCATTAATCTTTCCCACATTGTAGGTGTAGGGCGAGCTGCAACGCGTGAACGAGGTTCACGGGCATAATTTCTGATTGAATAATTTTTAGGAACTATTTTATGTGCCACTGGAGTTCTTAGGGTTTGCGTTATAGTAAGTGAACAGCGGGTTATGGGGCACATACGGGACAACATGGTGAAGTCTGAAAAGAGGAATGATTAAACAATTTCAAATCTTGTGACTGTCCCGCAATAACCATAAAAAACTAAGTAAATAATAAAAAAGTAATACTTACATTTAATTTGCAAATAGATTCGCGAACCAAACTTATTTTTGATAGTGAATGCCGATAATTATGGAAATTTTAAGGATCTGCTTGCGTTTTAACTCAATAATCGCCGACGTTACAGTTGTTGTCTTTATTGATCAACTCGATGATGAAATCCAATGAAAACTCCGTCGTTTCTAAAATTTTCTAGAAAACTCATTTTTAATCTGTTGCGCACTTCCAATCAGTGTTGCTAGGTATGACAGATCAGGTTTTTAGAGCACTGTGTGTATGTTTGTATCTCGTTATAAGTTAACGGTAATTTCTTACGAGTTAGCCTATGTTATTCGCTGATAATGTAGGTTTCCATTGGTGAAATAATTATTCAAAACGGTTAAGTGCATTAGGTGTGCAATAACAAACAAACAAACTCACATTCACATTTCTAATATATTAGCTTTTGCCAGCCCACCCGTATACGTATAGCGTGTGTGGGTTTTTTTATGGAAGAGTGGGCAAACGAACAGACGGGTCACCTGATGGAAAGTAACTACCGCCGCCCATGAACACCAGGAGTCACAAGGGCGTTGCTGGCCTTTGAGTAAAGTGGTTTAAGCGGTCACTCGCCATAGCCTACTGCGCTGAGTGTTGTGAGTTCAATCCCTACATGGCACAACACTATGTGCCATCAACAAATTGTTGTTCTGAGTCTATGTGTCCTTTGTGTCCGTTTCATGTATTTCGCGATACAGAATATATGCCTGATGCGGAAGTAGTATTTATTTAAAAAAAAAACTTTACGCTTCATGTTGGTGTACCTGCTATTTTCAAATATTTCATGCAAGTAAACCGGTGTACTATGAAACCATTAAATTCACAACGGGATGTTATTTTGAGAACAGTTTAATGAATACCTACTTTTGTCATCATCATCACCTATTTCCAGCTGTGGACTACTAAAGGCAGTTAGCCTTTAGTAGTCCACAGCTGGAAATAGATGTCTTCTTAGAAAGAAGGTTTTGGCCTACATTTCATGGTCAGTGGTCAGGTTTATTTTGTATCTTATATCTTTCTTTTGATTTTTTTTTTTTTTTTTATTTAGACCTGCTAACCCGGTAGCACTAGTGGTGCAGACAAAAATTCTTTACAAACTCATATTCTTCTTCTTTTAATTCAACTACTCCATCGGTTATCGATGATTTTGCCAACGCCAAGGTGGTAGGTAGGTTGAATAATTAATAGGTTGAAAAATATTTTTAAGAGTAACGGAGTATATGGGCAACGGATCGGATTATTTAAAAACTTCATAAATGTCAAAGTAACTTGTCAAAATGTCAATGTCAAATGTCAAAACAACAGCATTACGGTTTTCGATAAGCACGTGGACCAAAGTAAAACGCTTTTCGAGAGACTTTTTTGTAATAACAAGAGAACATGAAAAAAAGTGCAAAAATGAAGGAAAGACGAGCTTCTGTTGAATCACCGGAAAATTCAGGTAACTTTATACACTTTGTTTTTCCGAAATATAGTAATTCGTAAAGATAATAATTTATTTGAGGTTGAACTGTTGTAGCAACTTTTATACGTAATTTTTACGTAGCGTTATGTTATCTGCGTTAACCGTTAGAAGCCATACCAAACCTGGATATAAAACATGATTATTTGCTTCAACAAATATGGTTATAGTTACTCTCCGTACATTCGGATTTCTTCTTGCCTTCTGCTTGCCGAGTGTTGCTAAGGGTTGTAGTTTATAACTATTGAATTGTTTTCCACTGATTGCCCTAATATTTTTAGTTGATACTGGAAATTAAATAGCAAGGGTGCATGTAACTATATATTATTATACATACTAATGTTGATTTTTATGGTGCAATCTAATGTTTACCGAGGTGATTAGCCATAATATGAAATATACTCGGACTTCCTATAACGATTACATAAAATATAATTTAATGTTAGTACATACTATAATACCACCTGTTTACTTAACTTTTTTGAGTCGTCAATTTAGAGACCTATGATCACGGACCTATGATCACTCACTAATTGGACTGTAACATTCTTTAAGTAATAATGAATAATAATAATTTATTTATTTGTCAGAATATGGGTATACAGAGTATGACCAAGTCACAAACGTGTTAAGTTCTTTAAACCTAAGTAGCACTAACACAAAGTAATAGACTTGCATTCAAACTAGTTATCATTATTCTACACATAATTTTATACAAAATGAACTTCCTTTGCTATTAATGCTGTTGAATGCATGGATGGTGTAGTGGCTTAACTAGTGACCTCACCTCTTTCTACTGTGCTGAGTGTTGTGGGTTTGATCGCCACGTGACAACACTTTGTGTGATCCATAAATTGTTTTACCCAGTCTGGGTGTCCTTGGTTTGTTCTTTGTCTGGGTGTCTGTTTGCAAAATCCCCCAAAACACAGGATTTATTCTTAGTGTGGATGTTGTCTTTTTTTTAAATCAAAAATAAGAGATTTTCTGATGCAGATGGTTTGAGTTCCAGAGAATGTGTTATTAAAAAATTAACTTTTAGGTTTATATTGCACCACTAATCTATACAGAATACAATTGAAAATTTATTTCAGACTCTGAAGAAGAGCTGAATCCTGAGTCTCACAAGAAATCTTTGGAGAAGCTTAAAAATATAGATCCCGATTTCTATAACTTTTTGGAAGAAAATGATGAGAATTTACTGAACTTTGACGTAGATTCTGGTGATGAAGAATCTGACAGAAATGAAGAGGATGATGATGATAAAGTACACAAACCTGGTCCTCTTCAAGGTGAAAGTGATGAGAGCGACTTTGAGGTACTTTAATTCTGTGTGTTACTTTATCAAGGTGTGGCATGGCCTTTATAGCCAAATAGTAGTTTTAATATTTTTTTGTGAATATTTAAAAAGTTTTAATAATTCAGGGCAGACACAATTCCAAAAAATAAGAGATTATAAAGATTGGTCCAGCCATTCTTGAGTTATAAGTGGTGTAATTAACCCAATTTTGTTTTGTATATTAAGATTATTATTATTTTGTCAATATTTCAGGATGAGGACGCCAAACCAGTTCAAGGAAAAATTACTCTAAAAATGGTTGCACAATGGCAGATAGAACTTCAAAATGAAAATAAAATCAAACTTACCACATTGAGTACGGTTATAAAGGCCTTTAATGCAGCAATGTTAAGAGCCACAAGTGAAGATGGAGCATCTTCAGAAGGACAATATAAAGTAGAAGGTGAGATATTTCACACCTGTACTTACTATGTTTGAATGTTTTTTATTAGAAAAAAAAGAAATCCTAAGATGACTGGTGGCCTTTTTGTTAACCATGAAGGACTTGGAATTTCTTAAACTGTTTATTGTTGATTATTACATTGGGTAAACTAATTTGTGTTATTTTAATTGTGTTATGTGCATAATTAAAAATAACATTATATTAGTTAAAAAATTAAAATAGTCGTAGAGATGTTGCTTGTCATCATTATTTACCAGGCTATTCTAGGTATATGTTTTAATAATGAAAGGTAGCAAATAAGTAAAAACTTAAAAACCCTCAGGATTAAAAACCATAGGCAACCAACCATCCTGATGCTAACTAGTGTTTGTGCTTATGTTGAAGCAAATTAGCATCAAGAGCATTTTGAAAAATGCAAGTTTTTAATTTATGTAATAAATGCATATTTATTTGTGTTTAAGGTTCTTCTGTATTCAATGCTGTAATTCAGATGTGTGTGTTGTATCTACCTAATGCTATTAAAAAATATTTGGGTATGGAGCAGTCTGGAAAAGACCCACAGAAGTGCAAGCACTTCATTAAAGTTAAGACTCATTTAATTGCATATCTCAGTGATTTATTGAAGCTCTTGAGTGGTGTAACATCAGAGAATATATTGACAGTGTTGCTCAAACATTTACATCAAATGTCCAACTTTGTTGCTTGTTTCATAAGAATAGCAAAACAAGCTTTGAAAAAGCTTTTTACCTTCTGGAGTTCTGGAGAAGAAACAGTAAGAGTGTTGGCCTTCCTCTGCATATTGAGGATAACCAGAAACCAACAGCCAGCACTTCTTGACATAGTTTTAAAAGCAATGTACTTGACATATGTTAAGAACTGTAAATTTGTAAGCCCTTCAACATGGCCTGGTATTAACTTCATGAGACGATCACTGGTTGAAATGTTTTCTTTAGACTTAAATGTGGCATACCAGCATGCGTTTTTATATATACGTCAGCTAGCTATACATCTGAGAAATGCTATTGTTGTCCAAAAAGTTGAGAACAGACAGGCTGTTTATAATTGGCAGTTTGTGAATTCATTACATTTGTGGGCAGACTTGTTAGGAGCTACCACAAACAAGCCCCAACTTCAGCCATTAATATATCCTCTTGTGATGATTATCACAAATACAATAAAGTTGGTGCCGACACATCAATACTACCCGCTGAGATTCCACTGTATCGAGATACTTATAAGTCTCTCTAAAGAATCCAACACTTTTGTCCCTATTCTACCATTCCTTGTAGAGGTAAATATTATTATTACTTGTTTTTTGATAATAAGATTTGTCTCACCTTCTGTCAAAATAAATGTTTTAATATTGCTTTTAGGTTTTAACAAATTATGATTTTAATAAGAAACATAAAAAAGTGTCTATGAAACCACTAGATTTTTCGTGTATCCTTCGACTGGCAAAGTCGCAACTAATGGAAAATGGATTTAAGGATTCTGTTATAGAACGAATATACAGTCTTATGCTGGAATATACCGCAAACGAGTCGCACACAATTGCTTTCCCAGATGTTACATTATTAGCTGTAATGCAGGTATGTTATTTGTTAAATAAAAGTACAAAAGATACCTGGGAAGTACCTATCCGTGTGGTGTGTGGTGTTCGATAAAATAATGATAGATGATTATAAAATGAGTTATAATAGTACAGTTCCAACATGATCTTTGTGCAATGAAACTTTTTATATTTCGTTTGTCTTCTTCAACTTTTTACGTACAGTGTACGGCATCCTATGGTATACGAAAGTAAAAAATATGAAATTTCACTGTTTTTAAGTCATTTATTTTTTGGTTTTTCCAGTTAAAGCAATTCCTGAAAACATGTTCAGTCTCAAACTACACGAAAAAGATCCGTCAATTACTTGATAAAATTGAAGAAAACTCCAGATTCATAGAGCGCGAGAGAGCAAAAGTTAGTTTCACGTTGAATGACGACAAAATAATCACTGCCTGGGAAACAAGTCTTAGAACGAAAGGGACACCACTATTAACATATTACGAAAACTGGAGTAAGATTAATAATGTTCAAAAACGTAAAAAAGTTACCAAAAATGATGAAATAGCTGGTGAACTGCCAAAGATTAAGCGACCGAAAATATCTAATGAGCCGCAAAATGTTAAGCCCGCGAACAAGGGACCATTGGTACTATTTCCATCAGATGATGAAGATGACAATGACTTTTTTAAAACGGAAGATGATGATGATCATAATACTTCTGCACCAAAAGCTAAGAAGCCAAGAAAGAAAGAAAAGAAAAAGTCAGACAAGAAGAAGATCATTGTAAATGATGACAGTGCTATTGATGATAAAGGTGACATTGTTCAAGAGCTAAGTGTAAATGACTGGTAATAAATAAAACATTACATAGTTAAATATCTCTTTTATTATTCATTTAAAATAACATAAGGTAACAAGAGTAAATAGTAGTCAAGAAACTATAATGACATAGTAAAATTAATCATAAACTATAAAATACCTTGAAGGAAAAATATCCAACTCACGGCTGGACTTGCTGGTTCATAAGTCTCAATGGTAAGATTACCGGTAGGCATTTCGGCATTTACTTCTTCAATTTCCATAAGGAATACATTTATCTTCACATCCTGTTGATTGAAAATAGATTAAAATAAGGCTGCCAAGAATTAAACGTACAATTTTTTTATAATTATGTATGTTTCTTTTAAATTTCTTTCAGTAGTAAATGTTTAATTCGCTCAGTTAATTATAGTCCGTTCGCGTTAAGAAAATAGTGACGCATCGATCAAGCCTCGTCCTCTGACCAATGAGATGATCTAAACAATCTATAAAAATATAAATTGTTGTAAAAAAACTCCATCTTGAAAACACCTTTATCCCGATACGTCCCTTTTTTTTTACCGCGAATTAAAACGAAAGTTCTCATTGCAATCTCAGATTTTTATACTTACTTTCTTTGGTTTGATAATCTCAAAAGGCATCTTAACACTAAATTCAGGTTTATCTACGTAAATTTTGAATGTTCTGATGTCTTCAAAGACGTTCTTAAAGGGAATGGTAACAAATCCACCCGCTTTCACTTCGAACGGTCCTTGTGGTTTCGGTCGCTTCCCTTTGCCATTTATGTTAAATCTATAACAATAATTTTAATAAATCCTTGATGTAGTGCAAGCCCATTGTGACATAAAATTTGTAAAAGACAAATTATCCATCAAGATTCCATTTTGTATTGAGATGCAGAAATTTACGTGCACAGTTTAATAACACCAATTGGATTGACAGTCGAGAATTTCTAATTAGAAATATACCTAATAGGGAATAAATAAAATATCCATGGAAATAATATTTTACATGGCTTTCTAGAATCTAGACGTGAACTAAGCACAGCTGAAGACACGTAGGTATATTATTGAACATAAATATTATGTATAGGTATGTAGGTACATACATAGAAATATTACCAACGTATCCGTAATTCCGACGTTGCAGTCGAATGTTCTATAACCGCGATAATTATATACACTTTATACTTAATTATATTTAAAGAAATTGTAAAAGTTGTTTTTGAACCGAGAAAGCGAATCAAATAATAAATACATGTAACATAGCTGTTTATCCATTGTATAAAATGTCGTTCAAAACTTACATGAATTCACCAGCAACGGGCGAGTCAAAGGAAACTCTGCATGTCTGTACACCAAGCTCTATCGGCTCAAACCAAAGTAAAAATTTTCCTTTATCCAGAGGGGCTAAACTGTACTCAATGTCGGCTTGTATAGACCCGTGAGATACCTGCATACGGTGAAATAAATTTGGATACTAGCTTACCAAGGTATTCACATTAATTAATAATTAAGCTCAAACTCAGAGTGAGTTTGATCTTATTTATGATGTATTAAATAAGCTCAAACTCACTCTGAGTTTAAGCTTATTTAATACATCATAAATAAGCTATTTTCAAATTTTTAATTCTATTTTCATGTCAATATCAATTACAATAATATTATTTAAAAAAAATTACATGACATAATCGTAACAATTAATGTATCACATTTATTACAACTGTATTAATTGTAGGTTGTATATTGTACTTATTAAAACATGCATTCAAGTATATTTTCTCCGTTAGCAACTCAGTTACAGAATACTATGCTTTTATTTCCAAAAAATCTTTTAACTTGCTCTTGTATGCACTTGTGCTCAAGTTTTTCCATTGTTGCGGTAATAAATTACTGAAGCTAAAGAGAAAACACAGTTTTTGCTTGGAGTAGGTGTAGTCTACTATTCCTAGTACGTCACGTACACGTCACATGGCGCGGCGTTCCTCCCGTTTTCCACGGTGGGCTGTTGCCAGGCTGAACAGGGACCTACTAGAGGAGGCAGCCATAATTCACTCCTGGCTGTCTCCTAGGGCTCCGACCGAGGAGGTCGACATGGGGGCTGGTCGCTTCCGTGATGCGATTACGCAGATCTGCGATGTGGCCATGCCCCGTATCCGAGGTCTCCAAGGGGGTCTACTGGTAGTCCCAGGAGTTGGCGGACCTCCGTGCGGCCTGTACACATGCCCGGAGGTCCTACACGCGCAGTCGGCGACGTCACCGCGGAGACGGTGGGGACGATCGGCTTCATGAGGAGTACCGCGAGGCGCGGAAAACTCTGAAGCTGGCCATTAGCTGCGCCAAAGAAATAAAGAGAAAGGAGATGCTGGAGGGTCTCGACCGTGACCCCTGGGGTCGTCCCTATCGCGCGGCGCAACAAAAGCTCCGTGCCTCGGCCCCCCCCCCTTATGGAGACTCTCCAGCCCAGCTTTCTGCAGACAGTGGTTGAGGGCCTTTTCCCTCAGCGGGTGGAACACACAGCCCCGTCGATGGCCTCCTTGGTCGGACACGACGGGGAGGACGAGGATGATATTCCGCCCGTCGCGGATTCGGAAGTAAGGGCGGCTGTTCTACGGATCCGCTCCAAGAACACCGCCCCCGGGCTAGACGGGATACCTGCCCGTGTGCTGGGCGGGTCCTCGACCACATGTTAGATCGCCTCGGGGAGGTGTTTGACGCTAGCTTGGCGTCCGAGCGTTTCCCTGAGTGCTGGAAGAGCGGGAAGCTGGTTCTGTTAAAGAAGCCGGGACGGCCTGCCGATTCGGTCGCGGCCTACAGGCCCATCGTGTTGCTGGACGAGGCGGGTAAATTGTTTGAGATACTTGAGGTACTCTCTGCCGGGGCCCACCTCCACGAGGTGGGCCCCGATCTGTCGGACCCCCAATTCGGTTTTCGAGCGGGGCGTTCGACGGTCGGCGCTGTGCTGCGCCTGAGGGCCGTGACCGAAGAAGTGGTGAGGTGTGGCGGCGTGGACATCGCCAACGCATTCAATAGTCTGCCATTCAGCTGCATCAGGGAAGCACTCCACTATCATGGGGTGCCAAAGTACCTGAGGCGGCTAGTGGCAGACTATTTAGAGGAGCGTACCGTCGTGTACGAGGACCGAGATGGTAATCTGAGGTGTCGGCCCATGTCGTGCGGTGTTCCACAGGGGTCTGTTCTTGGACCACTCCTGTGGAACATAGGGTACGACTGGGCCCTTCGAGTAGATTTTCCCCCTGGGCTGGGTGTAATTTGTTACGCCGACGACACATTGGTCACGGCCCGGGGGGCGAACTTTCAAGAGGCGGCACGCCTGGCCACCAGGGGAGTCTCTCTGGTGGTCGGGCGCATTGAGGCGCTGGGCTTGCGGGTGGCCTTGGATAAAACGGAGGCCCTCTTATTCCGTGGGCCCCGTCGTGGTCCACCCTCTGGCGCCTTAATCGTGGTCAACTCGGTCCTCGTACCGGTTCGGGCCCAGATGAAATATCTGGGTCTGATTCTCGACGGGAGGTGGCTCTTCGACGAGCACTGCCGACAGCTTGCTCCAAAGCTGGTAGGCGCTGCGTCTGCCCTAGGGCGACTTTTACCCAATCTTGGTGGACCCAGCATCGCGACAAGACGATTGTACACGGGGGTTGTACGGTCAATGGCACTGTACGGTGCACCGGTATGGGCGGCGGCTCTGACCGCCCAGAATAGGGCACGCCTCTGGCGCACTCAGAGGGTATTGGCGGTTAGAGCCATACGCGGTTACCGCACCGTTTCGACGGAGGTGGCTTGTGCGTTGGCCGGAACTCCCCCGTGGGATTTGGAGGCGGAAGTGCAGTATATCGGCGGACGGCTGATTTCCGAGCGGGTAGTGGCAGTCCGCCCCTCGCCCGAAGAGATACGCGAGTGGCGTGAGGCCGCTCGCCGAGCTACGATGGCTCGTTGGTCGTCCCGGCTGAAGGTTCCACGTGCTGGCTTTGCCGCCGTGGAGGCGCTCCAGCCGGTTATCGTCGAATGGGCAGGGCGGCAGTATGGGACCCTTTCCTTCCGACTAACGCAGGTCCTTTCCGGGCACGGCTGCTTCGGGAGGTACCTCGAGTGCAGGTAGCTCCCGAAGCAGCCGTCGCTTGGAGGGAATTGAGTCCCGCCTGCCACCACTGCGATTGCAGTGAGGACTCGGCCCAGCACACGCTAGCAATGTGCCCGGCTTGGGCGTCGCAGCGCCGGGTCCTCATTGCAGTCATCGGAGGGGCCCTCTCGCTACCGGCCGTCATACGCTCCATGGCCGGTAGTGACAGATGTTTTACCGCGGTCGCATCCTTCTGTGAAGACGTCATCTCGCAGAAGGAGGCGGCGGAGAGGGCCCGGGAGGATGACCTCCATTCGGACCCAATTCGCCGCCGGCGAACCGGGCGGCGGAGGCGCGCTTACCAGCGCCTCATGCCGCCCTGATTGTGGCTGCCTGTGGACGGGACGGGTATTCCCCTCCACCCGCTATAATGGCCAGCCGCGAGGAGGTGACGCCCGCGTGTGCCGGACGTCACCTAAATAGAGAATGTACCGTATAGTGTTGCGGGCAGGCGCCAGGAGGGGTCCGGATGTCTTAATAACAGCAGTTTTACTAATCCCACCCACACGCCCACCACTGTAACCCACGAACACACCGAGTTATGACACGGGAAGTCCCAGGAAGAAATTAAACTGTCTTGGAACCCGCAACGAAATTAATCAGAAGAAAATTGTATAGTATACCGCCCCAGATGTCACCTGCAAGCTATTCAGCATTATATTACGTTCATTATACCAAAGACTACATTCCCAGAGGATATGATGAGTAGACTGTTCATAGTGAGAGTTAGGTGTTGAGCATTGACACAATGGTGACTCGACTAATTTAAATGAATACAACTTGCTCTTAAAGTTACCATGACCCGTAAGAAATTAAGCGACACAGTGATCCACCTCAAGCCATGTCCTCGACAACCGTTCGCGAACAGATGGAAAGAATTGGTAAAGATGGCGCCCCTTGGATGATTCGTCCCAGCGTTGCTGCCATTCGTATATAAGGTCATTATAGACATCGGACTGCTGTTGAAGCAATCTTGTAACTTTACCGCGATCCCGCGCGCCCAAAAAATCGCCTTCCATGTTTTGTCTTGAATAGTACATGGCTGCACGTCTCTGCACCTCGAGATCGACCGGAAGGACACCCGTCAACACCGGCAAAGCCTCAGTGCTAACCGTCCTATATGCCTTGCACAAGAATATCAGTGCAAGTCGTTGGCTTTGTAACAGTTTGCGACGGACAGCGCCTACGGTCGCCCTATCGGCCCATACAGGTGCACCATAGCACATAGAACCTAAATAAGTAACTCCGTATATGATATTTAATGTATTAAATGATAGACCCCATGTCGCAGTAGATATCCTTGTCAATGCACAGAAACTCTTTTTAGACTTTTCATTAACTATTTTAATATGTTCGATAAAGGAGGTTTTATTTTTTACAGTAACATTGTCAAATCTAATGCTCGGCGGTGATTTGAGGTTACCTTTAAAGGTAGCTGGAAGGTTTTGTTGGGTGCAAAAGTTAAGCGATTACGTTCACCCCATTGAGATATCAAGTTCAAACATCTATTGGCTAATCTCTCAAGCCCCGCCCTAGTATCAGATTCCACCAGTAATAAGCCGTCATCAGCGGTATCGCAAGAAAATCGTCGAAGCCGATATTCCACAAGTATGGACCTAGCACCGATCCCTGAGGACATCCCATTTTAATCCCTTCGACACAGAATGATGACCAAGTCTTAGTTAAGTAGTACCTTGTGAAAAGTACGAAAATATAAGGGAATAAATATTTTTAAAGCACCCCGTGATTTTAATTTCAGCAACAGCATGGGCCACCATGCGTTGTCGAAGGCGCCAGATATATCTAAGAAAATTGCCAGCACGTATTGAAATTTTGACTCTGTGACAAACTTTCTAACCGATATAACAGCGTCAGTTGTCGATTTACCCAACGTAAATCCAAATTGTCTATCATGAAATTTGACTCCACCTGGCAGAAGCCGGGGCACTACAAGACGTTCTAAAAGCTTTCCTAACGATGGTAACAATGTGATTGGTTTGTAGGATTTAGGATCATCCGGTGGCTTGTCGCCACTTTTTGGTATTATACGAATATTACCGCACCGCCATATACGAGGAAATATTCCTTCAGCAATGCAACGTTTAAAGACAGTGAAATCGTGTCACCCGAAAGTTTACAAGCTTCTTTTATCATTTTGTTAGATATTTTATCATCGCCCGAAGCCTTGTTTAGCGGCAAGGATCTAATGATACCGAGAAATTCGTCTGAAGATGGTAAATCAGACATTGGAGACAGTGGTGGTTCGATGGCCCACTGCCTGATCTGTCGGTGATGATCAGTGTCGTTTTCCGGCC